GGTCTATAAATCTTGCCTTCAAATCCTTCTAAACTTTCCATGCTGCAATGTCAAAAATACTAAAGAAAAATTATCCCAACCAATTCTGTAACAGCAAAAAGCCAGAAATTTTTGGAAAAAAAAAGGAAGGAAAAAAGTGTAAAATTATTTTATAGAGAAAACTGATGCATATTCTGAGAATTTTGAATATCTGAGACAATTGCATGAAAAAAACGCTTACTATGAAAAAATTAAAAACAAGACATTTTAATTTTAATTACATAGCTAATTTTTGCTTTTACTTAAGAATAATTTGTCATAATAAGTTGCCAAAATGAAACTTTATAATATGACAGCGAAAAATAAAAATGTTTTATTTTAATGTTATTTTTTAAATATAATTCTAATATATTACCATTATTTTAATGAAATTTATCAATGTTATGATGTTTTAAAAAAATCGCCGAAAAATTCTCAGATCTCGGAATTAAAAATTTTCTATAGAAACTGATCTTAAAATCGCCAAAATGTTGACAAGTCGCCAAATTTAGAACCATTTAATAAAAGAATTCACAATCCCAAAAGCGAAAAGTTGTTTAAGAGCTCTTTATTAGAAAAAATGAATTTCGAAATGCTTATGTTTCACTTCTTGCTTAGAAACTCGAGTATCCCATCATTTATATTAGAAATAGAAACAAATTATAACCCATGAACCCATTCAAAAGATAACCATATACGTCAGGGAATTGCCAAAAATATTCCTCCAAAATGGCAGTCGTAAAGACAGAGAGAAATTTCAGATGATTAAAATTAAGGACCTTCTACTGATTTTGGCCAAAATTAAGGACTTTTAAGGACCAAAAATCGATTCCAAAAATCTAAGGACTTTTAAGGACTCTTAAGGACCGTACGAACCTTGTGGATGGCAATACACGAAGCAACACACCTAGGTACAGAGTCAATGAGACTATGGATGTTGTCCCAAGAAATGGCTCCTTATTCCCTATTAACCATTTGCCACAGTTCGTTTTCTGAATGTGGCAATGACATTGTCTGCAAATGGCATCTAATCACATCCCAAATGTTTTCAATTAGCGAGAGATCAGGAATGAATGGTGGCCAAGGAAGCATCTGTACACCTTGCAGAGCAGGTTGCCTGCAGAGCAGTGTTGCAGTTGCTTGCAGAGCAGTGTGTGGTCAGGCATTATAAAGGGCATTGGACACTCCCTGAAGGAAGGGGAGTGTCACTGGCTCCAGCACATCATCTACATATCGTTAGGCCACTATAGTGCCCTGAATATGAACTAGAGGTGACTTGGAATTGTACGCAACTGCATCCCAAACCATGATGCAATGCTGTCGCGAGGTAGGGCATTCCACAAATACTACCAGATTGGACGTTTCAACATCGATGCCACACTCGAATGCGGTGACTATCACTGGAGAAACAGAAGCGTGATTCATCTGAGAACACGACACTGTGTCATTCCGTTGTCCACATCAGGGGGACTTTCATTCCATTGTCCAGAGACCATTTCAGATGCTGGCGTCTATGATGTGGGATCAGGAACAGTCTTCTGAACAGACCCCACAAGTGCAGGCCACTATCCAACAATCAACGGTAAATGGCTTTGGTCGATATAAGAACATCCAGGGTGTCTTGAACACGGTGCAGTGGAGGTAGAAGTGGCTTGTGAGTGCGCCCACCGCTTGTTGGCAGATGCAATGATCCACACGTGCTGATGTCATTCTGGCTGCTACGGCATCCCTCCAACTTGCCACTTTTTCTTGTTCCAACAACCCTTGCCACCGCGTCCAGGTGTGTGCCAGCTGAGATTAGCCGTAAGAACCAAACTGCCTTTCTCAGTTCGATCACCATGCCCCTCGTAAAATTGTCTGTCTGCTGGAACTGGCTCCATTGATGATGGCCTGGCATTCTCTGCTATTATACACATCCTCCGAGACAAGAACAATTTTCTACAATGATTTCTCTAGCAACAGCATGAAAGTTGAACATTCTTCAAGTTCCTTCCTTATATCTTTATCAAAGGGAGAGCTGCACATTTCTTATCATTCACATAACTTGGTGATGTGTGTCTATCCTGAAATTTGCATAATTTCAAGGCCACTCCTTCTTGGTGTTGCATTTTCAATGTTGGGTAGTGTTTTTTTTTTTTTTTTCTTTTCTTTGAGAACATACAGACTCCCCGTTCACCACAATGTACAACACGGGGCTTACAGATGTAAGTTAACTAGAACATTAAAGGTTACATGTATAAATAAACATTAAAAATTACATGCATAAATAAAGCGAACAAAAGCAGAGAACAGCAGTCTGGACTTCACGAAAACAGATAAGTTCACTGGCCAAGTCACTCCAAACATTTTCAAATCGTTCTGTAAGCATAATCTAGGGCCATCAAATGTAGGGCACGAGAAAATCAAATGTTCCACATCCTGAGGAACTCTTTTTGAACATTCACATAAATTGTTTGATCGTAGATCAAAACGAAACAGATAACTTGCAAATTTACCGTGACCAGATAAAAACTGAGACACTTTAAAATTTAACGAGAGGAAAGACTCGGAATTCAGTCTATGGTAAATAGAAGGAAGGAACTTTTTGGTGACTTCAGTATTACAAGATGAAATGTATTCTTCATTCCACATAGCTAAAAGCTTTTTATAATGAAAGAACTTCCAATAACTCTTTGGAATGCTAATGTTGATATCAATGGGTAAATTTAAGGCATCTTTAGCTAAGAAATCAGCTCTTTCATTTCCGTAGAAACCATGATGAGCACGCACATAAGCAAAGCAGATATCAATACCTCTAATTCTAAGCGAACTAACAGTTACTAGAGTTTCAATAACTAATTTATCGCAGCTGGTAATACTGTTCAAAAGTTGAAGAGAAGAAAGAGAATCAGAACAAATAAGGTACTTTGAGGATGTTGTCCCATGATCCTGGATCCATTTGACGGCAAGATAAATGCACAGAAGTTCTGCTTGAAAAACTGTACATTCATTCCGTATACGGTGTCTAAGAAAACAAATCTCGGAATGGCCTTCAAAAAGAACAAATGCAAGGCCAACCTTGTTGTTCATCTTGCTGCCATCTGTAAAGAAAACCATATGAAAACTTATTTCAGCAGTCTCTTTATAATTGCTGAAATTTATGGGTTCTAAAGAAGCGGGATGAGGAAGATCAGTGAAGGGGACAATTCCATTAATACAGTCTTCCTAATGAGTTGCCAATGACTCAAAAATATTATTCTTATATGCAATTTCAAAATCAATAGGCGGAACTCCTGCAAGAACAAAAGTAGCTTCATAGCTTAAATTTCTATAACCACTAATAATACAAAGAAGAATTCTCCGTTGAATCTTTCTTAAATTTCTTTTGTTAACCTTCTTGGCAAGAACATGTCCCCAAGCACGACAGCCGTACGAAATGAAAGGTACAATACACTGCTTATACATAAGTTTCTTAACATCGTAGCTTACTCCAAAAGTATTATTAGCATTCGGTGAAAATCCATTAATAATTTTTTTCACATTTAGCAGAAAGGAATTCATGTGCTTTCTCCATGTTAATTTTTGGTCAAGAATGACACCAAGATATTTAACATTTTCTACAAATTCCAACGGAGAATTATCGAGCATCAAAGAAGCAATATTTTGTTCATCAAACGTACTGGGAACAAGCATAACTTTACTTTTTGAAGGATTGAAAGTGAGTTTATGAAAAATCGCCCAACTGGAGACAAAATCTAGAACTTCTTGTGCTCTCAAAAGAATGTTATTCAAAATCCTTCCTTGGAAAATTAATAGTAAGTTGATTTGGGAGGCCCCCACGCCTGTTATAGGCAAAAACAAGCAGGCAGTTAATAATGTGATTAGGGCAGAATGCTTCATACTCATTCATATGCTGTCAAAGGATCTCGACATAAGCTTTGATAGTGTGCAATGCACTGTTTGGCAGAAGTTAGGCTACATAAGGTCTGCAGCCCTGGGCATTGGATTCTGAAAGAAAATCAAACCAGATGGCTATTTCCCTGAAGCACCTGATATGTTTTAATGTTGAAGGCAAGAAGTTCCTTGAATGCATTGTTGCAGGCAATGAAAGATGTTGTTACTGTTGGGAATCTGAGCCAAAAGTGTTGAATACACAAGGGTATTATTCTTCATCACCTCATCCCAAGAAGTTCTACAGCCAGTCACCTGCTAGAAGAGTGATGCTTACATTGTCCTTTGATTTCCAGGGCCCGTTGCTTATTGATTTCAAGGATCTAAATGTAACCATCACTGGAAAGTTATACTGTGAAACGTCAGAGGGATTACAACATGAAATTAAGATGAAAAGTCTGGGAAAACTGTGGAATGGGGTGATTCTATTTCATACATATCGCAAATGTTGTAACGTGGAAGTTTTATGTACTTAAGTAGAAGATACTCAAGCATCTACCTTACAGTTCTTGTCTCTATGCGATTTTTCTGTCCTCGGTTCCTTAAAAAAGTCCTTGACAGGTTGATGGTTTCGGTTGGATGGAGAAGCGTAGCAGGCAATTTTGGACTTCTTCATGCAGCAGAAAAAGAAGTTTTGCCTAACAGGTATATTCAACCTGGGAAACAACGGGATTGCCTAAATGCTCAAGGTGATTTTGCACGACTGGTATTCCATATGTGAACTGTATAGTCTTCGAACAGGTTTTTTTTTTTTTTTTTTTTTTTTTTTTTTTTTTTTAAATCCTCATTTATATATATATGATATTTGAATACAATTCTTTATTGGTTTTCCCATTAACAGATTTTTTTGAGTTAGGGATAGACAGTTACAGTATATTTTTTTGTAACGGTTTATTTCTGGTTTCAAATTTAAATCCATAACATTTATTAATTTATCAGAACTTTTCAGTAATTGAAAATAATTCATACTATTTTACTGCTATCATCATATAAAACTAAAATAATGACATTATTATTAATAATAATGTAATAATATACTATTAGCAACTTACTCGTTTAATGTGATATTTTTTCTCATGAGGTAAGACTTCTTTCTTGGTTTGCTATATATAATAGAAAATGTAATTTAAAATGAGTTAATTGATACAGTTGGTTCATTTTAAACAGAAGTTATTTAATTAGAGAATTAACATAAATCAAAACATACCAATCCATAAACTTCAAATACAACTGAAAAATCAGGAGGTAAACCTTGAAGCTTGATGTGATTAGTAAAACATAAAGCCCCATCAGTAACTTTATCGTTTGTGGAAACCATTTGAGTGACTATAACTTGTGCTCCATGCCTTATCAGACACAAGAAATAATGCACTGCATCATCTAGAAAAACAAAATATAATATTCAGAAACAAAAATTCATATTTATTAGCAATGTATAAAATTTTTTTTTGCAGTAAAAGTGAATATCTTGAAAGCATACTTAATTTTCCTTCAAGCTTAGCAGCCATGAATTCACGTTTCAAAGGTAACTGCATATCACTAATTGTTAAAGTTCCTGTTCCATCAGAAATATTCTCTCCTTGGGCTCCATGCATTTTCAGACGTTGTATTTCGTTCAAACAAGCTTGACGCTTTTGAGCTTAAAAAAAGACATTCATAAACTCAGTTTTACTCTAAAAAATCAAAACAGGTACATATAAAAGATGTATTTCTTTATCTTTTTGAAACAAAAATGCTAATAATAATACTGCAGATCAAAACAAAATTAATAACACGAATAAACAATCTAGATTTTTTTCAACTCTTATTTATGCATTATGAAATTTGCATTCCACAAGAAATAGAAGATAGAATATTTGATAAATAATAATCAGAAGACAAACACCCAAACATTTACATCAAAGTTTTAGGTAATTTGCATATGAACCAGACTAAAATTTCAGCACTGCAGTTAAAAAGAAATAATACAACTAAAATATGTTGTAGAAAAAGATCACTTAAAAAGGATACTTGGTAAAATTTTTAAAAACAAGTGTTGTAAAAAAAAGTACAACCAATACTGGAAATTAAGTTTTGTATTTCCCAATATATAGTTTTCATGGTGTTTCTTTGAACAGAACAAATTTACATAATTTTGTTTTATATTGACAGTTAAAATGAAGTTCTTCAGCATAATCCTAATTCTTTGAACTATTATGTTGCAATACCATGTTATTTACGAAGTATTTTACAAAAATTTTACAAAAGTATTTTAGAAACATAAATTTTATGTTTATTTGGCTAATTCATTTTGTAATTTTTCTTACAGAAAGACAAAAGGTTAATTAAAGAAGAAGACATGTGTAGGAGAAAAAAAAAAAAAAAAAAAGCTTTTATTTACCAAAGAAATTTTACATACAATGAAAATAAAATTAATAATTAATGTTTATATTATGTTGATACATTTGGTAATATACCTTTATTGATGTAAAAGAAAATTAAATACAAATGTTAACTAATCAAACACTGGTTGCTTCATAAAAAGTTCTATAAATGTCGGCAGTAGATTAAGAGAATTCAGCTCAAATAAAATTCAGTAATAATGTTGCATGCGTACAGGTTCGTTATGAAATGAATGCACAAGTCCGATGAAAATTTATCATTATCACAACAAATATGCTTGAATTTCCTCAGATATTCGTGCAGTATTACAATATCTCACAGTAGTTATCTTTTAACTACTCAAACGTCCAAGAGAACTTAATTCAAAAGAGCTAGAGAAAGCTAATCTGCAAATCTGCTACAGTCAACAAGAGCAGTTTTCTAAACAAACTCTTAAAACAACAACATCTGAGAGTTTTTCATGCCGCTTATATAAGCTTTTTAAATGCATGAGAATTTTCTAGCACTTTCTCGAAATCAAAAAGATATTTATTTATTAAATGTTAAATGCATGTGCTCTTGTATTTTTAATTTTCGGGCTTAGCTTTCCTTTAATATTCATCACATGCTGCACTGCACGGGGAATAAAACAATTTAATTTATAATTCAACATTAGCTATTTAAATACCAAATCCGTAACAATAAGAATTGGTACTTGCATTCGAACTCAATTACGCCTGAACAATCTGGCGATTTTTTACAGATAAAAAGGTGAAAACTAACTTATTGGGTGCAAGTTGGTGATTTTTGTGACTTTTTTTTTTAAAGACTTGTAAATTACAACATTTATTGCAAGTTGGTAAACATTACCAATATATTAAAAGAAAAATTTTAGTTATTAAATAAGGATAATATGATACATCGACTCTAGATGCAGAGTTGAGATTCTCTAAACACCTCGAACATGTTTCAGTAAAGGCAGTGAAAAAGCTAAACATCCTTAAAAGACTTTGTGGTGCCTCTTGGGGATCAAGACCAAAAACCCTCAAGAATACTTACACTTCCATCATCAGGCCTGTTCTAGAATATGCAGCACCCATATGGGCATCAGCAAGGCCTGTTAAAGGAAAGATCGATGCTGTTCAATATAGGGCCTCTAAAATCAACTCTGGAGTTGTTTCATCAACGAATAGCATCAAAATTGAAAAGGAATGCGGCCTTGCTCCCTTGGAGAGCAGAAGAAAATTAATAACAATTAAATTAACAAGATGCTAAGAAAAAATAAAAAAAAAACACTTGTGAAATCCTTCAGTAATTTTTTGCACTTTTTTCTCCCTGAGTGCACATTGATTTATTTTCATTGAAAGAACCTTAGAGAATTGTGCAAATTAGGCATTTGGTTATCTACCAAATGCATCTCACTATTGTTCCCTTTAGCGATTTTGCTGCAAAATGCTTTATTCTTAAAGAAATTTTACCACAGTTTCTCCCATTGCTGGCAATTCCACAAGTGCATATTTTAAAACTGAGTTTAAGGCGAACATCTTGAATTGTCTATAAAAACCATTGGAACTTGGAATTAAACAAAAAGAGTATTAATGGAAATGGCTTTTGGTAAATATTGTTATATGCATGGTTGCACAAGGAATATGTTATATGCATGGTTGCTGACAGAGTTTGGAACATTCTGAAAATTTGAAGACTTCTACTAATATGTTTATAACTGATAGTAAAAAGGCTAAAATTAACCCTTTGACTTCTACCTGCTCTAAGATGAAGTGCTTTGCAGAATGACTGATCAAATAAACAGTATTTCACTTTTTTTGTTACTAAGCAATAAAAGAGGTATGAAGTTTTTGTGAGTGTGGAACATGCATGAAAGAAAAAAATTTCCGAAGCACCAATAAACAGCCAAAGCCTTCGCTGAGTGTGCACTTGTGTCCATAATCTACACCAATGGTTGCACTTGATGCACATGTGCACCCATAGGCCACATGATGGATTTTATTGGATGCATATATGCACCCATAGCAGTTAAATAGTTAAAGATCATATGATGAGATGAAAACCAGGAGAGTTGGCAGCTATGAAATACACTAGAAAAGAGAATTGTTAGATAAACTTACTTGCAATTAACAAAAGCCTTTCACCTTCTACTTGCTCAACAGAGCCAGAAAACTCAGCTGTGGCATGACAAAGGTTGAGAGCCTGGCTGGTCTGACTAATTACTGTTTGCTGTCGAAGGATTTCTTCTTGCAGTGCCTTAAAAAGAAATAATCTCTTTCAAGACCATATACACTTTTATTTAAAAAAGCAAATTAGATAAATTTAATTCAAACACAAAGAAAAAGAAAATACAGTACATACAAAAAAATGAAAGCTTAGCCCACTTTAGTAAACAGACAAAAGTGTATTATTTATGATGATTTTTATGTTATAGCACTTTTTAGGGTTTCAATTTTAATGTACATGTTGAAATATATGATGTTATGATGAAAATCTTCCGAATGCTTTCCCCCCTTTAAGAAATCACCTATTTGCACTAAAGATTCTTGTGTGTAGTTTAATGGATTCTCAGAGGGGTGCATCTATGTCACAAACGGAAGGGAAGTGTAGGGATTAGTGACCAGACTTCAAGATGCTTTTCGTCACTGAGGAAAAATTTCATATTACAAATGTTCCGAATTGAGACTAAAACCTCAATGAAAAATTAAAGTTCAGAAGAAATTTCAATTTTACATAATTGTTAAAAATCTGCTTGATAACATACTATTTAAGGAGGAAACTTTCAGCAAATTAGAATATAACTGGTTTAATTAGAAATTATTTCATTTTATTGTAGATTGTTAGTACTGCCATGTCCAACTACATAAGTGCTACTAATTAAAATTCAGTTCTTTTCCAAAATTAATGCATAATAAAACAGACGCTCAAAAACTGTTTTTTTTAGAATATTTTAGTTTTAAAAATTTTGAGAGGGGGGAGGGAAGATTATTTAATTTAATCCTGTACTGTTTTATACTGTTTATTGAAAATTAGTAAGTGATATATTTCAAGTATTAATAATAGAATGAATTTAAGTCATTAAAAATGTCAAATTATTTAGTATGCAAGCCCATAATTCAAAATGTAAATTCCATTTGTCTTTTTTTCCCATTTGTCTAAAACTAAATTCCCAGCCTCACTAAGGGAACGTGTTCACTCGGGTATCAAAATTTACATAATTTCTTAGTGCAAAGCCTCCATGAATGAGTTTTTCAAATTTAAGGGAAAATTGGTTGTTATGCATAGTGTCTGCAAAAACTGTGGAACAAAAGTTGCATGATAATTAGTTATTGCCTTCAATACTGTATTATGTTATTCTATATTATGCTAAATAATTTAGCACATTAAGAGAAATTTCCAGATAATTTCAAGTGCCTGGTCAGCAAAATTCTCTCCTATTTGAAATTGTCGTCACTTGTGAATTTTTCTATTTCCTCTATTGTTTAAACCAGTTTGTTTCAACTCCAGACTGTCTTTGTAGCAACTTTCACATCAACCATGGCGACATATTTTATATGGTGGAATCTAAATTGTACGATATATTAGCGAGTATCTTCACTTACAGTTACTCAAAAAATCTTCATTGTCAGGTCATGCGATATCTATACTGACACAGTTGAATTACCTGTTTTTTCTCTTTTTTTTTTTAATTGAAAATTTGGCAGCTATTCATTGGTTTCATTAGCACCTCATTAACACCATTAACTTATGCTATCGTATTGAACTATTTCATAACTGAGTGCCCAAGGTATGCCCCCAGGAATTTGTCCTTGAACGTAGTTGCTGAAATATATGTCTAATGAATGACAAAGGCATTCAATCACTTAAAAGGTCAAGGTTCAGAAATTCAGATGGGGAACATAAGTTGTCTTATTATAAATAATTATTCTCAAATAATGATTTGTACATTATTTGAGAGCTTTTACATCCTGTTTGTATTCTCGGAGCTCAACGGACAGTGAAATTTCACAAATGCTACTCTAATCCATTCTGAACATCTTACTTCAAAATTATTTGACCGTGAAATCGAGACATACGGAGGTACCTTTTAAAATAACAGTACATCTGGAATCTAATAGCTAGGGATGACCTTTCAAAATGATTGACTAGTTTTAGTGTATTTACGATTTCCAGGTTTCAGACTGAAATTGTTAAACTACTGTTGTTTCTTTGACACAAAATTTATATTTATGTTCTTGTGATTTATTTGAATAACAGTACCATCACAGTAAACTTCCGTGTATTAAGGTCACTTCAGCATAAACAGTGGAAATAAAGACAGACAGAACTGTTAAGAACGAACTGATAAGAATGTAAGAAAAACTGCTTCTACATGTATACAAGTACGTGGGAATTTATATTTATTTATGGAAATGTATATCTACATATCCATATAGTATATATGTTTGCACTGATATAATATGGTATAAGTGCAGATATGCACATAAAGCGGAAAGCATGCGTACCCTTAATGGAAATAACATATATACAGACACGTACATGTACACACACAGGCACATTGCATTTATATATATGTGTTTGCATGTGGATTTATGCATACATGTATAAACATACAGATATATGTATGTGTATATGTATCAGACCTACGTACATGTACACACACAGGCACATATAGTTTGCATGTGGATTTATCCATACATGTATAAACATACAGATATATGTATGTGTATCATGTATCAGACCTATTTTCCTTTTCCGCATATTGCTAGAAAAAGGTCACGATAATTCCTAAAAAACTTACGAAAATATGCAATATTCTAAAGCAACGCAAGGCTCTGTTTACAATTTGCAAACGCAGTTATCGCGAATTCTGTAGCTATGTAGCTACAATAACTAAAAGGGAAAACTTGGGAAAAACCAGATTCTTAACACAAAGGCCTTTGAAAGAGATAAGTGGTTAAAACCCTAGGAACATCAAATTCAACATTTCACCCCACTCTTTCAGCCTGAAAAATGGGGGAAAAAAAGACATGGCCACTAAAATGGACAACCCCATCATTTCAAACAGAGGACTCTATGGCCACTGTAATGGCCTCCCGTCTTCAAAAAGTTAAAGAGAAAGCAATAGCACAAACGAAGCAACTTAAACAACTTACATTGAAAGAAATGTTTAATAAAGTAAACAAATAAAAATTTAAGCTTTTTTTTCGTAAATTTTGATACCCTTTAGATCATAATTGCTCTTTATTTCATAAATTATGGTTTCACATTTTTAATTTTATAATTTCTGCATGCCATCTTACCAGATTTAAATTTATGATCTATAATCCAGAAAAACCCCTAACCGGAAACGCCGAAGTCCCGACGAGTCCGGATTAAAGACATTGTACTGTATTAGAGAAAATTATATTTCATAATTGAAGAAGGAATGGTAGTTGCTTTAGATACAGTAACTTAAAATAATGCAAGATCAGAATAATAGTTTTAGACATGGAATTTTAACAGCAAGGCAAATGTTATAAGGATGTTTTAAATTTCAATTTCTTTTTACTGTTCTTTTTTAATTTTATTCTTAGCCCCCACTTTTTTGCTTCAATTAACATAAAATTTGTGAGAAATTTAATTATAGCAAGAGCTATGTAGATAAGCAATGTACTAAAAATTTGTTTTTGGCCCACCTGCGACCAAGCAGTAAAGTCGACGTACAGTGATAGTTTGGTCCAAGGCTCAAGTCCCATGAATGGGCATTTTTGTGTTTTTCCTCACTTGTAATGTGTATAGGAGCCAATTTCCCTTAGAAAGTCCTCCATGAAGGCATCCCTCCCCTTTGGAAGACAGCCCTCAAATGCTTTATCGTAATTAAATAAACCACTTTTTTTAAACTGAAAATGAGCAGAATTAAAATCAATGAATATAACAAAACACACTCACCATCTCTATTTTAATGTGATATGGCTAATTTTAACTAATAATACAATAATAATTTTTCTACCTGTAATACTTTAACATTTAAGAAAGTACTTGAACAAACATATAGCTGAACATACAGTCTCTTAAAGTGTATTAATTTTCATAGTTAATAAAAATTTTACATTTTATATTTAAAAAAAGAGTCAATTAAAAAGTTATATACTTTATCTATTCCTCTTGCCTCACCATGCATTTAGAAAGTATTATTTAAGTCATCTTTTGCTATTTAGTGGACAAGTGAGGATGTTGGATGAGTGGGTGAAAAGAAATATCTTGCCACTAAATTATGTTTAACTACTAAAGAGTAATGTATCTTAATTATTATGAAGTACATTACTTAAATAGTGTTTATCACGCTATTTGTTTTCCCATTCTACAGTTCTATAAATAGTTCTTCAATTATAAAAGAAATAGGATACTTAAATATTTTTTAGATAATTATTTGGTACTGTTCTGTTATTTGAACCAGAATCGTTGACAAATGTTTTACAAAACTCACCAAGAGATTGGTACATATGATGCCGCCAATGTTTACTGCAAACATTGTTACAATGTTAAATTTTAAAGAAAAAGTAAAAGAATGTCTTTTTAAAATTGAGAACGAGAATGCAAATTCCAAAAATTGTAATGGTCACTTGTGTTTTTATTATTATAGTATTTACCATGGATTTGAAAATTTGGACTTGCTTAATGATGAAATATCTTTCATACAATTTCTTCAGGAACGGGGAATTATTCAGTATGAAAAAAAGTGCATGAAGAACTGTAAAATGAACTTTTTTCTGCTTTCTTTGGCAAGTTGTTTAATTTACACTAATGTTTAATTTCTAATTTTAGGAATATCTGTTGTTCCCCCCCCCTTGGATTTTTCTTCAAACAATCAAAATTGTTGCCAAAAAATGTGATTTAGCACCGATAATGGATAAATACGCTGCCACACAGTCATAAGATCTTTGTTTAAGTTTTATAAAACCCCAGTCAATAAGTCAGCTTAGTTTTTGTAAAGATGTTTATGAAGAGGACCAAGTTAATTATTTTTCTTTGCATTTAAAAAATACTTTTTTTTTTTATTAAAAATTTGATATCTGCCTTGTCATAAAAAATTGTGACCTGCCTTTTACAAAATAGCAAGCACTGGACTGTTTTCAAAGTTATAGGATTAGTTATACTAGTTTGTATACATTGAAGAACTTTGGATAGGCAAAATTATGCAATAAATAAATAACCACCATGCAAAGATATGGCACTCCTCATATTTGTATTTAAATGAATTTATGAGGTGCTAAGTTCACAAAGATTACAATTTTATTGCTATTTTAAATGACATTAGGGATTTTTTTGTCCCCTGGAATGATTAGCATAAGTTCTAATGAATTTGATTGTCTAATAATTGCAAAGCAAGAGCTCATAATCATGTAAGATTTTTATATGCTAAAGCCTTAACTTGTATCTGTAGATCATCATATTAAATCAAGAGTAATCAGTTCCTCCCAATTTTTACTGGAACAAAAGGCCCGAGTTTTAGTGAGATTCCTCACAACTTTCACAGTCAATAGGAAAAATATATATGTAATGAAAATAAAAATTCACAGGCAAAGATAGGAAAGAGGACATATATTTTGATGGATAGTTTCAGTAGTTAGATGGATAGCTTCAGTCTTGATATTGCCCAGTCATCGGAATATTAATTACAGAATGTTGTTTTGGATAAGCATGCTGACTAAAATTAATGATTAATAGAAGAGTTATGAAATTTTTTTGGCTCACTTTGTTAAAATTATTAAACAAAATTCTTTAATCAATAGGGAAACTGTTAACTAGTCACCTGTGGGTCCCAAATTCTGCATAGAGTACGGATAAATTGGACAATAAAATGACACTTAACAAAAAGTTACAAAACTTCATTGCAGAATGTAATGTCTGACCAAAAATTTAAAGATTTTTAATGAATGCAAATTTACCAAGATAGACAGTAGCAGACTGAGACTAACAGTGATAATGTAAACAGAAAGATTTTATTAAAGCTTAACAGTTTAAACATTTAGTACACACTTAAATAAGTTTTTCAATAATTTAAACTTTTAATATTAATTTGTGACATATGGTTGTGATATAATTCTTGGAGATAAACAAGCCAGCTGCAATTAATGGTACACAGTAAATCCCATAATGCCAACAGTTAATACTCTAGGACAAGAGCAAGCAAAAAATTCATAACTGACATCATAAAGATCCAAATCACATTGCCGACTAGAACAATACCAAAACATTTTGAAAATTTTATATGCTTTCAGGAATTACTTCAAAAACTGGTATAATTGTGCAACATATTGCTCTAGAAGTTCTTTCAAGAAGTTTTTAGACTAAAAGAATTGAGAAAAAAAAATTTTTTTTTAAACGACTGAGGAAAGGATATTTTCCTGTTTCATAAACAGTCATAATAAACACAGAATTTTTTACAATTATGTGTATTTTAATGTAACTGCTTTTATAAACATTCTAATTTTCCATAAAGTTAATATACATACAGTGGATGGACAAAAATATGGAAACACCTTGTGAAATGCATGTTTGAAAATAAAGATTGATTTTAATGAAATATGTAGGTGGCGCTGGCGTTTTTGACTACTGACGCCACCTATACAACTTCGTAAATGTGCTATACAGTTCAGTTGTCGGAGTACTGTTATGTGAGGTTGTCACTGCATTATGTCAGAGTTAACAGACTTCGAACGTGGGCAAATTGTTGGAGCACGTATGGTAGGTGCTTCCGTAAGCAAGGTAGCCGAGGTGTTTAGTGTTTCAAGAGGTACTGTATCGAAGATTTATTCCGCATATTTGAAAAGCGGAAAAAACATCATCTGCTAAATCACAGCGCGGACGAAAGTGTGTCCTGAGTGATCGTGACAGACGATCATTAAGGGCAATTGTGACGAAAAATAAGAAGACCACAGCTGCAAAAGTTACTGCTGAAATGAATGTTGTGTTACCGAACCCTGTGAGTACCAAAACAATTAGAAGGGAGCTTCATAAACAGGGAATTGCTGGCCGTGCTGCAATTGAGAAGCCACTCATCAGTGATGCTAATGCCCGTAACAGGAAAAGGTGGTGTTTAAGTCATAAAGCCTGGACTATAGAGCAGTGGAAGCGAGTAATATGGTCTGACGAGTCTTCTTTCACATTGTTTCCCACTTCTGGCCGAGTTTACGTCTGGAGAACGCCATCTCAAGCCTATAATACAGACTGCTTGTTGCCAAGAGTGAAACATGGCGGGGGTTCTGTTATGGTTTGGGCAGCCATATCGTGGTTCTCTGCTAGCCCCATGATAACTGTGTCAGGGCACATGACTGCCAAGACTTATGTGAACATTTTGGCCGATCAAGTTCATCCCATGGTACAAACTTTGTTCCCCGATGGTGATGGTGTCTTCCAAGACGACAAAGCCCCTGTTCACACAGCTCACATTGTCCAGGACTGGTTTTCTGAGCACGAGGATGAGTTGTCCCCATCTCCCCTGGCCACCACAGTCACCAGACCTGAATATTATCGAACCTTTGTGGTCTACATTGGAACGGAAAGTGCGTTCTCGTTATCCACCGCCAACATCGTTATCTGAACTTGCCACCGTTTTGCAGGAAGAATGGTATAATATTAACTTGGCAAACATACAGGAACTGTATTTATCCATTCTGAGAAGACTGCAAGCTGTTTTGGATGCCAACGGGTTTCCTACACCATATTAAGCAAAGAAACATGTAATTTTTAAAGGTGTTTCCATATTTTTGTCCAACCTCTGTAAATAACATGAGTTCATATCTTAAATTTCAGAAAATATATTCTAGAGAAACAAAAAATTTTTTTAATAACTTCTAATTTATGAAAATAGAATTAATAAAATATTACCTTGATACGCTCCTGAATTAGTTCTGTTTGATCAGTGTCTTCCACAGGTGGGCTAGGTATCTTTTCACGCCGTACTATAGTGCGCACTGGTGTACTTCGAGCTTCTTGTTTCTGTTTCCTGTAAAAACTAACAGTGTATAGAAGAGGTACATCTGGGTTACTGGTACTACCTCCTTGAACTGGTGTTCCAACATTTGCTTTTGTAGTTGCTGTATCACAAGAACTGATTGAATTACTACTGTTGCAACTGAGATTTTCCGAAGACTATAAAAACAAGTGCAATAATTATAAATTTTCCATTTTTTGATTAATAAAGAAAGAAAAAAATCATTTATTAAAATACTATTTCAAGGAAAAATTTTAGTCAGTAGAAAAATGAAATTGATTATTTCTTGCTTATTCAGTTTATCTTGAAATATTAAACAAAAAGGCAGCAAAGAGTTCTCAAAAGAAACCTATCTGGTTCATAACTCTGTATCGCTGCACACAGACATAGCACAGTAATTGCCTTTTTGACTTATTCTGACCTTCGATCACAGTTCCAGATTTCAGGAACTGTTTGCATGGGATAAAAACCGCATACCTAGAAACATTCAGGCATCTAACTATTGTAGTTTGAGATCATCCTTGTTCCAAGTTCTTTAAGCATTCTCCCTCTGTTTTAAATGATAATGAGGAATTATTTCTCCCATCAAGTCAAGATTTAATATTTAGTTGTCAATCTCTGCTAAAAGCAAGTACTTACACATGCATTTGCCTTAAAATGTCTCATTTAGAGCTAAACATTTTTGAATGAATATTTAAAATAACTTTCTTTTAATCCTCTAAAAAAATATCCAAATTCAATTTTACTTTATTTAAAATACAATTCTAAAATCTAGATTTTGATTTAGAAATTTAATTTTGGACTCCAGTTTATTTCTATCAAAGTAAAAAAAAAAGTTCAAATTTTATTTTTATCCCGAATAAATAAATAAAGCAATTTCAAAGGAAACTTCTCTTTCTTTTTTTTTTTTTTTTAAAATAACAAGAGGAAGTTTCTTAAAGTTTGAAATAAAAAAGTTATTTTAGCAATTTAACTTTCCTTGACATGCAGCAGTGTTTCTCGCTTAAATACTGGAACTTTTATGCTTTTAAGGTTAATTAGGAAATATGATGAGGCTTCTGTTATTGAAATTGTTTCCACATTATTTATATTTTCCCTTTAAATAAGACATTTTTATTCATTTCATAGTTTATCTCATTTTTTTACCATCTATTTTCCCCCTCCACATAAAGCCCAAAATGCATGATTGATTACCAATGAGAGAAAAAATTATGAATTTTTTGGAACCATGTCTTAGAAGATTCACTTTATTCATTAGCACATTTCATTAACATATTGCTAAGCAATTTTTAAGTCAGCTTCAACTTTAGAAAAGCTTTAAACACTTGGCTCAATTGATGGTAATTTCTTTAAATTTATTTATTTACTTCCCCCCCCACACAAGACGCTGAAACTTGCCCTCCCCTTCTCACTTTTAAGGTTTGTCTTCACTTAAAAAGATATAATCATCACTAATAAAGTCATGATCTGATAAACGCACTGATTGTACAGTTCCACATTTTCATCACTCAAGCATACAGCATTCTTGAGTCATGCTTATTTTAGCCATCACTGTAGTAAATATGTTTTAACCATTTAGGTAATACATATGTTTAGATATTCTGATACTTTCTGATTACTTGCACTGCCATGAAAAGTCAGCAAATCATTAGCGACTTTCACTGGCATATATCCTTTTTCCAATAACAAAACTTATCCATACGTTATAAAGGAGATATGGCTGTCTTTAAAACAGTTTCTGACCTCTAGTTTCTTACATTGCATTCCCCAAAAATTAAGTCGTTTAAGAATATAGCTACATAGAAAGTCAATTTTCACATTTTCTACTGCTGGACAAAAACACCATATTTCTGAAGAAATTCAGTCCTTTCTTCAAAGTAACATTTATGAAACTCTTGAGCAGCACTATGATTCGTTATGAAGGAAAGTTGGCAAGAGGGATATTGTTCAATGAAATGACAAAGAATATAAATCCACAAATACTAAAAAATGTATGGTATGCATATATGTAGATTATCTGTTGTTATTCACATAGTTATCATACAGATATTATTAGATTATCTGTTGTTATTCATATTCATAGTAAAATATGGTAAAAAGTTCTTTGAATGTTGAAACAGAGGGCAAACTATCAGTAAGTATCAATATCATTTAAAATTACAGTTATAATTAAATAGACAGCATAGTAGGTGGTAACAATCTTATAACATGATTGCAAATGATTGAACAGATCTGGACACTTATTCATCAAAAGGATTTATGGGTAAGATTTGAATGAAAGAACGACTGTAGTGGGCAATGTTTTCTACGCTTTAAAATTGAAGTTACACAGTAAAACATGTGAATCATATGTTTTACAACAACATACATTATGAAATATCAATTATACTAGAATAGCATATGTTTTCCTAATACATGCTAATATAATTTAAGACATGCATTTTCCATGGCATTAAGAATACTTTATAATTAAAATACTGTATATTTTAGTGCAGCAATTTCTAAAACAGTTCTTGTACTATATTCCATTCAGCTGAAGAAGACTTCTCTTAAAACAAAGAGAAGTTATGTTAGTTTTAAGAGTAATAATGTTCACCAAAATATAAATAAATGGAAAAATGAAAACTAGCATATGGCATAGCTTTTAAGATCATAATGTGTTCACTGAGATGCATTAAAAAAATCAATAAGATTTTTCTTAAGATTGAACGTACTTTATACTTATATTCATGCAATAAGTAAATTTAGAATTCAATAATATGAATTGTCAATATTAAAAATTAACAGCACCTTATTTTTAGTTCCATTTCATAATAAATCAATTAAAAAAAGTATTTTATAGAGGCAAAATTTCAAATATTAGTTCTTACATTGTAAGAGCTACTTTCAGAACAGCAGTCTGATGACTGTATAGATAAGCTGGCTTCGGGTAATGTTGACAGATTGTTATTTTGATGCTCATGCATATCACTGACAACTGCTTTTAACAGATGAGATGCTAAAGGTTCTTCTACTGGTAATTCTATACATAATAATAAGAAAATGGTAAATATTTTACAACTATTCAATATTCATTCACACGAATCAAAATAAAACACTTTTACAGAATTTAATTGATGAGAAAACAATTTTTTGATGGTTCCATTAAAGTAACTAAAATTTCTAAGATATATCAATAGAACAGAGTACTGCTTTAACTGCCTAAAATGTAATTAACTGAGGCTGCATCTGTATCAATTTATTATATTAAAATACTAGTAAGATTTACTGCTTTAACTGCCTAAAATGTAATTAACTGAGGCTTGCATCTGTATCAATTTATTATATTAAAATACTAGTAAGATTAGTAACAGGAATTATATCATGAAATAATGCTGATGAATTGATAAAATGTTTTAATTATATATTTACATAATTTAAGTTTAATTTACAATTTTTTCAGGTATTTTAAAATGGAACATTCGCAGCGTTATCCTATAATAATGATACATGAACAGAGTTGTTCCAATTATGTTTCTATGAGTAAGTACAATATATATAATAGATATCAGATTAACTGAGTGACAAAAAGGTAGCCAACCAATATTTTTAATTGATATTTAATAGACTTTGTTTTTATTTACTTCAAAAATTAATGATTTGCAAGAGAAATTTTTAAAGCATGAGAAAGTTCATTTACATCAAAGCAACTATAGGTAATCATCAAGAAACCAACTGATTGCTTTCTTGTGTAAATATAATTTGTAACAGAAGGAATTAAAGTGAATTTGAATTGCATTTAAATTTGCTATCGATTGTTTATTAAATATTACCTTAGATACTTGGCTAATTAGCATAGTATATAAACTAATAGACATAAAATGATGGCTAATAATTAAAATTATCAGCTATAGTACTTTTAAACTGCTTTGAAATCCATAAAATAAAAAAATAAAAATTGAAAATAAATCAATAAAATTGTATAAAGTTTACAAAAAGTATATTTTACTGATCTTAATATAAAATTTACTTCAATCTACCATATTTGTGCTCTTCCAGAGAATTTGCATCTTCAGAACCTAAGGAAGATTGGGAACCAGTTTGCTCTATTGCTGATGATGTATCACTATTACAATCACTTTCATTTTCAGACTCTCCAGAGTATTTCAGACATACATCATTTTCGAAGCTTTCATTACATGCTTCAGATCTGCATGAAATACTTTCATCCAAATCTGCTTGCTTGTGACACTGTGAGGAAAAGAACAAAACAGGAAATATATTAAAAAAAAAAAAACTTGCTTTTAAAAATCTTTAATTAAGATTTGTTTGCATATTTTTTGAAATACATTTATATTACATGTAGAAAATCATTAAGTTTGTGAAATATCTGATATTTCTCATACCTAAAGCGTTAAGTGCTTTTATTTAACGTAACATTCAATCTCCTTGGCTGCAAAATGCAGATATATTAAACTAGTACTTTGGGAGGATCACAATTAAAACTGTTAAATTAAAAGAACTTTAAATAAATTTCAGTACTATGAAATAATATAGAAGTCAAACAACAAAAATCAGCATCATATTTGCAAATTTTCATAAGACTATTTTCGATAGTTTTACCGAACCATTGGAAATGAGTCCTGTGAAAATTTGCAAATATAACGCTGATTTTTGTTGTTTGACTTCTAAATTATTACTTGTTCAGCAGGTTATTTTATTTTAATTTCAGTACTATGGTTAACACTTCTGTTTTTAATTATGAACAAATGTATACAATGCTTAGATAAGTTTAAATAAATCTAGAGATTATAAATAGACATCATTCACTAAGCATTCAATTAACAATTTTCCCCCAAGAAAGATTTGTGAAAATATATTTCATCAGCATATATGTTCATTGAAGCGAAAGCATTTCATGATTAAATTTTAGCACTACGATTTATGTATCAATGCAACCAGCTTAGCAGAAGTTGCCAAATTTCAGAATGAGTTAAAATTTGGCAATTGCATGCAATTCCTCAGTTTTTAACAAGCAGCATTGCCACTTTCAATAAATGGAAAATTAAATTAATTAAAAATAATGCATTCTACAATGGCAAAGTATAGTTGGTCAATTATTTTTTATTATAATTAACATATTTAATCTAGTAAATTGACAATCCACTGATAAGTCAGAAAGGCCCGTGAAATAAACAGTGTTTTTGTTTAAATGCATGTATACTTACAAAAACGTTATAGAGAACTAACTCATGTTTGCACATGCTTTTTGTTACATTACAGTTTCCAATGGTTTTTACAGACAAATTGTGATATTTTATGTTTTAAACTTGAATGTAATGTATGAGTTTGTGAGATATGCTTTTAGTGAAGGCTTAAATCACTAAATGGAATGATTACTCTTAATCTAATCTTATTGCAATCGCATGAAGTTTCTACTAGAACAGAAACTTATTTGTAACAATGCTTAATTAATTTTTAAAAAAAAGTTTAAATCTAAAATGGATATATAATATATTTTGACAATTATAATCACCATTCTTTTTTTTCTTAAACAAAAAATCACTAAACTGCCCCATGGAAGTAGAAATATGTAAATACCAAACTTTACTGGTGATTTAAAATTTTTTATGGATATTACAAATAAGCTAGTGGATAAGCTATACGCAAGTAAATACATATAACTATACACAAGAAAGGAAAGGAATGAAAAAATATGGACAGCATTCTGCATAATTTAGTCTAGAATTCCAAATATAAAATAAGTATATGAGAAATAAATGCAATGAATTACAATATCTTACTAAGATTTACAAAAAAAAAAAAAAAAAAAAGTCATTACTGCGCTATGTTGTCCTTATTGATTTTTATGCCCAGTTTCTTAAAATATTCTAAAATACTGATAAATAAAACAATTATATATATTTATATATTATATTACATTATACGACACACCAAACTAAATAAAACATCAGTTTGAAAGGCAAAAACAGTATTTCTTTCTTTGTATGTTCATATATTTTACATAGGAAATTGACTGCTGGATACTGTATGTTACATGATTAACTGTCAAATCTCTGCCCAAAACAAGATTTTCAAGTAATTATATTCCGTTAATAGAATTATGTAAATTAAATCTTCATATTAAAATAAAAATTTCCTAAAGCTAAACATGGAAACATTGAAAGCTCCAACAAATTACAAAGTTTTGCAGCATATTCTAAGCAAATTTTTACCACTTTAAGAGGAAATTTGTCAGAAGACTACAAAATTAATTTTGATAACACTCCAGAAGATGTCTAGAATCAAAAATGTGTAAGTTTTATGACTTATGAGTTAGTTCTCTATAACGTTTTTGTAAGTATACATGCATTTAAACAACAACACTGTTTATTTCACGGGCCTTTCTGACTTATCAGTGGAATGTCAATTTACTAGATTAAATATGTTAATTATAATAAAAAATAATTGACCAACTATACTTTGCCATTGTAGAATGCATTATTTTCAGTACTGGATTCATAAACGTATGCATGTGCATATATGTGTATCCAGCATTATTTTCTTTAGATTTAAATGAAAGGTTTAGGGGGAAAAAATAAAACTGTTTAAAATCTATTAATATAAAAGAATACGTTCAGAAACGAGTAATTTTCACTATTTTTAAAAACTAAAATGAGCCTGAATGTTAAAAGACTTGGTTAATTCAGATAAATGGAGTTCTATTGCATTTAAAGATTCAAATTTATATTCATTTATTCTTTTTCATGTAAAGAAGAAATATTTTACAAAACAAATTACATGAAGGTATGAAAACATTGCAATTTCTAACCTCTACAACATTTTCTACATATGATCCTGACGATAACTTTTCCCAGTGATTTACAAGATTTGAAATTTCTCGTTTTCTCTCCTCAGTTGCTTTAGCAACAACATCTTTCTGCTGCCAGTTATTATTAGCACTTTCAATCAGCTTTTGCTGCACAGTGCGAGTATGCATGCCAACATTAGGAGACGTAGCCAAGTTAATAGTTGCTGATGATGACACTACAGGTGAGCCTGCAAAAAAAAAAAAAAAAAAAAATTATTGCATTCATTTTTTGGGGGGGGAGAGAGGAGTTGCTCTTTAAGTTACAGCAATTCTACAACCAAACAGCATTTGCACTGAAAAAGAAAATAATATATTTATTCTGAAGCCTACAGTGCAATGCTCTATTGTTAGCTAGCAGCCTGTTCGACTCTCGTGTTCACCTATGCAGCCACAGGATCACAGATATAGCGATGACAAAACTACCATCTTTATTATAAAATGACTTCACTAGAGCAATAATCAATAAGAAGGGGGGGAATCGATAATTTTCACCCAGACTTAATAGGAACATGCAGCCTTATATGCATAGGCAAAAAATGATGAATAATGTTACTATGTAATAGAGCTTCCCTAAACACCACATACAGGAAAGGACTGCCATTTTGGGGAGAAAAAAAATTCAGGCCGGCTAAAATTATATATATATATATATATATATAAAAAAGGAATAGATGAAAAACAAGTAGAATTAGAATACTATTTGTTCTGAAAATTATATAACTCACTGAATATAGAAGTTTCCTGCCATTGCTTAAATTATCACATACTAACTAATCTTTGGCAGAAATATTTTCTTTAAAAATTTAAAACAATAGAGATGGGATTTTTACTTTTACTAAAAGGGCTGAAGTTATCTTTTTGACAGGTTGAATTAAAATGAAAAATATGAAATATTTCACTTTTTTTAATAAATAGTGATTCGATATTCTAAATTTACTCCTCGTCAACAAGCCTTAAATGATGCATTATTTGGATGCAATACATTTATTAATATACATAATATAAGATCCAAAAAAGACATTTAAATTAAATGTAAGTAAAAGTTATTGTTTCTTGTTAAGTTAAATACAAAAGATACTTCTGGAATTATGCATGGTTAATGTTGTCAAAATAAAATTTAAGAATAACATTGATTTGGGGGAAAAAAAGGCACATATATATTGTACCGCTATTGAAAGAAAAGATACATTCTGTTTTCATTGATCAAATTTTAATAAGGGATATTTTTATTTTCTCATACAAAGTCAATGCAAATTACTTTTCTTACTGTTTTTTCACATTTTCACACAACCTGATCTCTCACTTTTGTAATTGCAATTTTCAGTTTGACACTGTACATGGAAATTTAATTTTAATTCCTGACCAGAAATATGTGGAGCAACATGAAATGCAGCTGGTAATCATTTGTTTTCATCAAAATTCTTCAGAGAATTGAAGTAAAATATTCTGTCCTAAGAACTGCTCTTCCAGCAGCTTTTTGGACATACTTAAGGTAATGATTGTAGTCAAATCTACAATGTTATAGTACAACTTCCTGCTTACGTTGACTTATCAAGAATGTCAATAGTAAAAACTTATTACATCATCCACTGCATCAGCAATAGGAGGTGAGCCTGCATAGGCATCAAGAGGCTTTACTGCTTGAGATACAGATGCAAAAAAAAAAAAACCATGTTTCATTACATTTCAGAAGGTTGAATGGCATAGGGGACAATATGCTTGCAGATACACTGTGGAAATCTTTGATTTATCTTCGTCTTAAACAGATGAGCTGAAGCCCTTGAGACAAGTGAACTATTGTTCACTATCCGTGGAAGATAACATGCTGTCTCTGACGTAAGAGAACTTTGCGACAGAGTATATGGTGAAATTAGTCAAGGATGAGTTCTAGCCAATATGTTACACAATTATAAAATGATACATTTTCAAGTGGTTTCTCGGTATTATCTGCATTTTCAGCAGTTAAATGAAAAGTGCCCCTCAAACATACAAAAATGTAAAAAAAAAAAAAAAAAGTTTGAGCTTTTCTAGAGATTGGAAAACTGTCATTTCGAAATTGACAACGAGCTTCTGTACAGTATGTTCTTTTACTATTCTTCTAATTGGTTCACCTATAAATAAGTGCATTAAACTTGCGACTCTCATTTTATAAATTTCTCCTTACATATGGCAATATTCCAATAGATTCCAATAACATGCTTTGATGCTGAAACTATCTTAATTGGCTATTTGTAAGTGTTGTAAGGATTATGCTAATTTTATTAACAATTAGATTTTGAGTTAAAGTTCCTTTCCTATCAATTCTTAACTTCAACTTACCACTTCCAGCCAGAACGTAGTTTTAGAATCAAGTCTAAATGCTAACGAGGAAGAGCAGTATATAAATGCAAAGTTCTACTGTTTTAGAGAGAGATACCAGATATTCTGGCTAGCACGCATCCACCTATTTAGGCTACTTTCTCGTAAGCTATTATTACGCTCGGCTGTACTTTAGGCCCTTGATAGCTTTGCAGTCAATTAGCGTCAAGGGGCCAACTCTGTTAGAATTTTGATAGCTTCAGCTATACCTCCTTAGTTTAGTTAATTCTTAGTATTTTAAGTTGAAGCCGAAGTGTCGACTTTATTGTATATGCCAAAACAGAGTTTTGTTAAACTTTAGTTGGAAAAATAAAGGGTTAATTTACCCTTCTATCTTGTTGTTTCCTGTCACACGAATTCAAGCGATTATTCGCTTACTATTTCAAAAGATTCTTCACTTTCAGCAGTAACTTAGAATTACCCAGTGAGGAACTCTACAGTGTATAAGTTGATATCACGACATCTTTTTCAACTTCTTATTTTGAAGAAGTTGCTAGACATGACACAATATGGAGGCATTTTTAACACCTTTATTTACACAACAGCACAATGCAGAAGTACTTAATCACATAATATTTCATGGGATTGTTTAAAACATTTCTAATTATTTTGCTTAATGATGACTGTAGAATGAATAGGTGTGTAACATTTTTTTCTTTAATATCTGAATGAAGTTTTGTAAAGGTGTGTCGCCTAAAGATAGGAAAAGTTATGAAACTTCAGCAGTATAATCACCCAAATAAGAATAGTGTCCAGAAGTAAACTCTGAAGCATCAAAATGATTATAATTATCTTTCTAGTGCTAATGAAAGAAACATATTTTTATGCAATACTTTAAGAATGTACTTAAAAATACTTACTTTGAATCTTTATAGAAAGAAGAAATTTCATCCTAAATAATTACAGCTCGAGCTAAACTCTAGTATTTAAAGCAGCTGAATATGTATTCAGATGCTCTAAATATCAGAATCCAGATCTGCCCCTACTTTTACCCTTGAATGAGATATCCAGGAATTGTTGACAGCAGTTTTTCTAAGAAATTCACACAATTTAGAAATATTTCCTGATGAACTGATTATCGGCGATTATTTTAACCTCTGGATGGTCACGAGCGAGCTCAGCTTGCATTCCAGTTACGCAACACAGAATAAGCTCACATTACACATTTACGACTGACAGATATTGCATATATTTGGGATGAAAGAATTGCTTGTTCTTGCAACCACCAAAGGATTAATCTCTGAATAATAAATGTTAGTACAGTATTTCCCCATATTTAAAAATTATTAGTTTAGAAAATTAAACTTGATTTCTTTGGATATACTTGTTAATTAAAATATTTTGTGATTACAAAGATCAATATATGATACAGTTTTAGATAAGCAAACAGATATGCATTTCAACTATATATTCATGAGATGCTCAAGATAGACATTCAAACAAAAAGATGAAAAAACTGAAACCACACTAGGGGGGAAAGAAAAAAAAAATGTTTGAAAGTGCTCAGATTCTAGCAGTCGCTAGAATCTTTGTTAAGGTTTTTCTACACTCTCACAGAGCTTGCAGTCTACCAGTCTGCTGTTCAGCTCACTTCTGCTTACCCATTTCTTTTTGTATTTTTAGCCTTATTATTAAGCATCATCCCCCCCCTCCATTTTCTCCATGTTTTGTACACTTTTTGACTGAGAAAATCCTGGGCAGAGAAGGAAAGCTTTAATTTATTAAAGTATTTTTAAATAGGATGAACATATTAATAATTAACTTACATACTACCATGTGGATAAACTTATGAATGCACTATTTATTGATATAAAACAAAATGAAATATAAATATTAATTGATTAGGCATTAATTACTTTTTAGATTTTCATATGAAGATCTAAAAAATTCTAAAGTAGATTAAAACAATACAAACCAAATAAATATTAATAAGAAAGATAATGCTGAAAAAAGCTAAGGATGGAAGAATGAAATTTGCACAATTTTAGTAGTCAATAAATTCATTTATTGCTATAAGATACTTCATTAGTAAAGACTAAAAATTAAAAGCCAGTTGATTAGATAATCTACTGGAAGATGTGATGAAAAACCGGGAGAGTTAAGCTTTGCATCATTTTATTTTTGAGAGATTTCTCATATCTTAGGCAATGCACCCCCCCCCCACACACACACACAAAAAAGTTTTTGATTTTACCTTCAAAGCTATCCTGAGAGACAGTTCTTGCAGCACTTCTTTGCAGCAAACCTGTAGTTTTTGCAGGACTTCCAGCATTACTCGGTGTAAAATTTTTGGCAGGACTTGACTGTACCATTTTTGCTTCAGAAGCTACTGCACATTTTATAGGGCTTATGAGAGCATTTACATTATATTTTGGCTTTATAGGTGATTGTTTTGGAGCAACAAATCGCTGAGGTACTCTCTGATTCAGTGATGTCTTTTGACCTGAACTTACTTTACAAGCATTTTCAAACAAGGCAGTTCTTTGTGCAACAGAAAGTTTATTTTCAACTGCTGTTTCATTTAGTTTTGGAGTTCCCCCTAATAAAGCCTTTTCAAATAGAGCCTTACGAGCAGAAAGTGGTAATTCAGCTGGATCAACATTTTTTCTAAAAGAAGGCTCTGTCTTAGGTGCCATGGATTCTTTTGCTATAACATAGGAGCATACTGATTAGAATAATGTATGATTATAAAAAATTTCATGATGACTGAATCTGTATGACAATTAAATAATCATTTTATTAATTTAGGACCCCATGACATTTTTATATCTGATAAATTTTTATGTTAACAAATTCAGCATTTATTGTTCAGATATCAGTTTAGTTCATGTTACATTAAATTACAAAAGAATTTTTCATTCATTTAAAGCAGCATTTCTCAAACGTTTTTTAAATGGTGACCACTTCTATAAATTAGAATGTTCTGCATACCAGCTTACTCTTCCCTTTGAAAGCAACATTTTTGGCACATGCTACTATCAATGTATTTATATTTTTAAAATACATTTAATTTTACATTGATATAAAGTAAATAAGGGGGCTTGCATATTATCCTGTCAGTCGTGAAAGTGGCTACCATCGAACCATCATAGTTGACGGAGATTCTGCAAAGTCGAAACAAACATTCTAACGGAATCCTCAGCCACATTTCTATCTGCAATTCTTACAATACTTAATTCATCACTCTCTCAGAACAATCCATCAATTAGCTCCTGTCATGGAAGTGTCTGACATTCTTTGTTTTTGCTCTTTGTACTATGGTTTTCATTGAATTTCTACTATTTTGCTAGGAGCTCTGATTTTACAGTTTTTGGCTTATTAGATTATGGTAAAGCACCACGTGGGCTATCTACTTGAGAGGAGGGATAACGTTGTAGAGGACTTCCTATTAAAAACTGGCTCGTATCAACATTAGACATGGGGAAAACCACAAAAATGCCCATGAAGCCATCCCGTTTGCAGGGTTTCAAGCTCAGATCAAAACACCAATGTTCAGCAATTTACCATTTGGCCACTGTGAGCTCCCAAATTTACTGGAGGCTCTGTTTAGAATGCTATGGGAACAAACTTCCAAAACAGGTGACTGTTTCAATCTGTTATCGTCTTGTTGACCATATCCAGCTATCCAGCTAATGCGTCCCTCATTTAACATATGTAAATTCTCTCGAACTATAAATGAAACTAAGTGCATCACTAATGCGATGCTACAAGACTCATTAATTTCTTCAAAATGTAAGAGAAAAGTGCAGCAATAAAAGTGAATTTACAGCCTTGCTCATAAAAACAAAAGACCACTTGTCGAGAATCAGTGGGGGTTATATCAAACAATAGTGTAGATGTGACATCATGCTTATCCTTAATTGGCACTAAACTGTGCTGCTTGGTGAAAGTTTCATGGTCTATGGGATAATACTTAAATTCCTAAATAAGTTAATGAAAGAAATTTTATATTTGTTTTTAATAATTCAAGGCTATTAGAGTTTGGATAATATTTATGTCATTAAATAAATGTTGGCACTCACATTAATGAGATGGATGAGCTTGCTGATTTTTGCATAATTGTTCTAGTTGTATGCTAGTAAGAAGCACCAAAATCACAGTGCTTTAAATCCCTCTTTTATTGCTAAGAGTAGAGTGTGTAAAGTACATAGGTAGGGTAACTGGTGGATAATTTCACAGAATATCAGTTTTGGGAGTAAATGGGATAGACCATTGCCATTTGTAGCTTCCAAACTGAGATTTTTCAATTACAGTGTGGTATATGCAGTCAATCTGAATTTTGATCTTTCTCTTCTTTTTACTTCCTTGTACGAAGTAAAAAGGAAGTATTGTAATCGCGAACAACGAAAATATCCATTTTGACCACTATCGAAGGCAATTTAATGATGTTTTTGCATGACATCTGTACATAAGGACAGAATAAAAGACTCTTTTCCTCCAAAAGAATTATAAAACTGCTTTAAAATGAATTCTGAAGAGAATTTTTTGTGGTGTCTGTATGTACACACGTACGTATGTATCTCGCATAACTCAAAAACGAGTAGCCTCAGAACGTCGAAATTTTGTATATGGGACTGCTATAACATGTAGATGTGCACCTCGTATTTTGGTTGCAATCAGCTGCATCAAACATATATAAATATATATATATATATGTATATAAATATCTATACACCACACACTGTTAAAGGCTTTCTCTCACTGTTTTAAATTGTCATTTTTGCTTTTTTTTGCATTTTTTGCTTTAAAAATGATTGAATTATGTTGTTCTTATCTTCCGGTTAAGGTTTTTATGCCATTAGGAAATCTGCAAGTAATATCTGTAGAATTATCAACAATTTAAAAGCTGTTTAAGTGTGGTTAAGCCTAATTTTTAAATAACATGGCGGACATGTTTGTTTACATTTGAAACTGCAGAATAGTAGATTTGTTGTCATTCTAGAGAGACTAAGCTCCGCAATATGAAAAAATATAATACTGTTACGTGAACAAAGAACAAAGATAACACCTTCATTTATTATTGTGAATTAAATCATGTTTAATTTTTTCGAGGAAATAAGTGTTTAAGATTTATTTTGTAATTTTCAATATAGATATTTTGAGTTTTTATGCATTTTTGCTTGTCGCAATGTGACAACTAAATTAATTGAATGAGAAATATTGAATCGTCTGTGAAAAACTGTTTCTTTTTTGTTTTGTTTGCTTAATTTCTTCTACACATCGTTCTAGATTTATTATAGTATTTTAATAGAACATGTTGCAACGATTAGATAATTCTTCAAATGGTATAAATTTTGTGCATTCTGAGTTATAATATGAAAAAATATAATACTGTTACGTGAACTTAGCGCCAGAATGTCGCTATGGTAAAAAAAATATAGTGAATTTTAAAGAGTGCATTTATTCTATTGTGATTTATGCGCTATCAACGAATAAGATTTAATTCAGTTCAATAAGTTTAAATGAAATGCAACAAAAAAAGCATACAATTTAACATTCCGTACAAGGAAGTCATGTGATGTACACATCAGTTTTTTTTTATCTTAGAAAGAATGCAGACTGAGAAATGCTGATTTAAAAAATTACCTACATGTGAATAATTCTGATATTTAAGAACATAAAATAATTTGGCAATGTTTCAAGCAGATATATTTTAATCTTCAACTACAAATATTCTTAATAAGCAATACTCACTAGAAAACATGATCACTTTTAAACAAATAATAGAGTTAATTAAGACACAATAACACGCCGAATAAATACTAATTCAGAAGACAAACAACAAAAATCAGCGTTATATTTACAAATAAACGCTGATTTTTGTTGTTTGTCTTCTGAAATAGAAATAATAGAGTTAATAATACTTTGCCCAACTACTGAAAATAACAAAAGAGTTAATAATATTTATTGTAATCTTAGCATAACATATGATTTGTAGCTATCATGGTTCATGAATCATGTTTAAGATTTACAGATTCACTTACCTAAATAACACAGGCAATAAAAATGACTTCTAAATAGAGTATGAGATATATATTTTAAATGATTTCTAAATTATATTACAACATTTTCTAATTTTTCCATGCTCCTAAGTCTAAACGGTAAATTTATTATTTTTTATATTTATCAGCAAACTGTTATTAATACATCAAAAAATAAATTACAAGATAATGAACAATCTTAAAAGGAATTTAAATATTAAAATTTAACAGAGAATGAAGCACCAAAAACGAGATTAAAAATTGTGTTATTATTTTAATTTACCATTAGAATTCTCTGTACAATGATTCCCTTTTTCAGAAAGATTTTCATTATTTTCGTGACTGCGACTGCTATTTTCTTCATCATCTTCTAATTCTGAATCGCATTGTTTTTGTTCACATTCAAAGAATAATGTTACTATCTTAGAATCTTCTTCCTGGACAAAAACAAAAAAAAAAAAAAAAAAAAAAAAAAAGAGACAAACACATATATGAATTGGGTCTGGGTTATAATCCCGACAGCCGAAATCCCGACAAGCCAGAATCCCGACTGTCCAAAACCCCGACTGGGCCGAAATCCCGACAACCCAAAGTCCTGACAAGCCAGAATCCTGAGTGTCCAGAATCCCGACAAGTTAATATCTAAATACAAACACTCAATTTAGCTTAATAAAATACAATTTTTAACTAACTACAGTAAGATCCCGCTTAACGCGGGGGATACGTTCCATCAAAGTAGAGCGTAATGCAAAACAGCGCTAAACGAGGCTATCTTTACATGTAAATATTGGGGTTAGGGGAAGATGGCTAGGAAATTGGTTAGGTATTAAATTTAAAAAGTATGTTTTTTTAATAAAAATAAAACCAAACATTTATTTCTTAAAGCCAAATTAATACCACATTATTACTTCTTACAAAAATAAAAAACAAAATATAAATAACAAAACGAATATTCTTAAAAAAAAAAAAAAAAAAAAAAAAAAAAAAAAAAAAAAATTATAAAAAAAATAATAAATAAACAAATAAAATATAATATTTAAAAAAAAAACAAATAAAATTCTCAGTCAGTCATATTTAGTTAGCCCTCTGCGTTTTCAGTGTAGTGCCTTTTTGTGACAAAAGCATCTAATGTTGCTTGCCTTTTTCTTTTGCGTTTGTTCTCTTAAAAGTTCTTCATAAACGGATAGAGCATCTCTAACACCACGCCTTACTTTTGAGCTCCTGTCAAAATTCGGATCATTTTCAATGAATTGATCCATTATTTCAGTTATGGTAGACAAACTCCTTTTTACAAACGCCATCGAAAGTTCTTTTTGCTCTTCTTCTGAATCACTGCTGTCAACATTTTTGTTTTCTTCTTGTTCAGTTAATTCTTTGAGCTCATCATTAGAAAGACTAGCCGCTGCTTCTTGAATTATTTCTTCGACATCTTCCACATTTACCCCTTCAAATATGTCTGTACAATACCGCACCAAACAAGAAATACAATACACTCTTTCGGATATTTGAACCTATCGCTGCATAATATTTCGGGGAATCCCTGTATGCTGCGAGCGATTTCGTGGAATCCCGGGTTGAAATAAAAGAGCGCTAACCGAAACAGCGCTAAATGAACAGCGTAAGCGGGTCTTACTGTATTACATATTACTAATTAAAAGTTTAAATCAAAAAATCATAAAAATTATGTCATTACTTAAAATAATTTTAAACAAATTGAAATGACCGTTAAAATTTGAAATGAAGATTTATAAAATTCTTTTTATTAAGAAAAAGAAAACATCACTTACACATGCAAACGACATATTTACAGTGACACATTGCGAGCGATAGCACGAAGATATTCCATCACAGGTCGATTATCACGATCGTCCACAACAGTCATAATTCTCCTTTCTCTGTCATCATCTACCTTCCTACGTTTTGGTTGTTGTTCTCCGCGAAGAATGCATTCAACTTGGTATTCCACATGCTCCTGTTCTTTTTGAAATCCTTCTATGATGTTATAAACGCCAACATGGGCCGTCCAATTAAGGTCTCCCATCTTCTGTGCCAATCCTCGACAGCATTTTGAGTGCGCGGAGCATTTATAGCTGCCTTTTCTAGATCACTAATGATTCTAGATTCTCTCAGTTCAATATTATTTTCTTCAGCGAAATCAATTAAATCTTGGAATAATCTTTTGTAATTTTCTTCAGATTTGCTAGTCATCAAAGCATATACTAGTTGCAGCTGTGTAAGTATGTTAAGGGGTCATTAGGCCTTATTGGGATTTCGCCCGTGTCGGTATTTTGACCCTGTCCGGATATTGGACAATCGGGATTTCGACCCTGTCGGGATTTTGGTTTGTCGGGATTTCGGCTGTCGGGATTATGTCCGGATACCATATTAATTATCGTTTAAGATTTTCAACATTTTTAAAATTAAGATAGAAAAACTTATTTGTTCTTTTAGTGCCAATCATTTTAAGTATGATTTATAAGGTATGTGCAAGACTCTTAAAAGTAAGAGTACGTTAACTAAAAATCAGTGCTGTGGAGTTGCAATCGGGCAGATTTTGGGATACGAGGAGTCGGAGATGGAGTCGCTAAAAACAGGTCGACTCCGACTCCAGTTTTTGTTGGACAGTTTGAATTTGAAATGAAATTAAAATGAATTAATAAAAATTAATGACAAGCTGAGTTATTATTTTTATTTATGAACTATATACATTAATAAATAGTTATTTTCTATTTTATTGACATATTAATAAATAAATATAAGGGAGGAGGATGAATGAAATATTTGCCATTAGTGATTAAACTGATTCATTTAGTTACAAATCTCACTGCTAAATTTAAGTAAGCAGCAAGAACTTAAAAAATTAATGTCATTCTTAGGAAGCGAGCAAGAAAACGAGCAATTATTAATCAAGCAACGCGATAAAAAAGTACACATTTGATGATAAAGAGGTTTTCAGAATTTCAGAACTTTTTTAGAAGATGTAGATAACCCTAATGTTTCACTAACAGAAAAAATTGTGGAATGATCTTGCAGAATTGGAAACTCTTCTTTCTGCACCATATATAGCCACAAAAAAGCTGCTATCTGAAGAATTAACAGGAGGCGAAAATGGAAGAATATGATGTTTGTCCTTTCTGAAACGAAGGGTTTATTGCAGAAGAAATCATTAGAGAAACTAGTTTGCTAGACAATGAGATCTTGCTGAGTTCAATATATATAGATCCGAAACACTGAATTTTCTTGGATGACGAACAAATTAAAAAGGCAAAGAATGCCACCTATGAACTTTCATTAAGAATGAAATTATTCTGAGAACAATTCAATTTGAATGAGGACAGTCAAACTGCAGACATTGCAATTGAGTCTCTATCATCCTCTTCCAAATATGAATTAGATTTTGAGAATATTTTTGGGTAATATTGAAAAGGCTAAGGCAAAGCGAATGAAAATAAAGATCCAAGAGCCTTTAGATATAAAAATGAAAAATCACAAACAAGATTTCCGCATGGCCTTTAAAGAAATAGAGAAATATGATTGTGCTTACAAGACACCTCTTTTAGAACTTCTAAAAATCTATCCTGAAAAGTTAAAAGAAGTAGCCCTAACAGTAACAGTCTTCTTCCTACTCAAGTTAGTGTGTAATGACTCTTCTCAGCTCTGAAGTTTATGAAATCGCATCTATGACCCTCCAACAAAGAAGATCTTGCCGAAGCTATACTGTTGCTTAGAAGTAACTAATGCCAGTTTTTCCATTTCATAATAAACGCTAATGAATATAAATAATTTGCTATGCCATCAATTTTTTTGTAGGATTTATTACTTCTTTTATATTAAACAAAATAAGCTGTAACCCATGCGTATATCTTTACATATATATATGAGGGAGTCGGAGTCAGAGTCGGTCATTTTCCCTACTGACTCTACAGCCCTGCTAAAAATGTATGACTGTGGAACTTGTTCAAAGATACACTGAAGAGAAATGATGAACAGCAGGAACTTCAATGAATTGACATTTGTTAAAAAATCAAAATTAGTCATAATTTTGGTTGTGAGAAGATACTGTGGCAAAAACATATGTTATTTATGAAATATCTGTTGTTGACTCTCAACAGCAAAAGTAATCTCTCAACAGTTAGACATACTTGCCAGCAGAATAAAAACATACTGCAGGAAAAAAAAAGCAATACTAATAAAGGCGATAATATTAGAGCAACCATAGTATAGCTTGGGTAACTAGAACAACTGTACAACTTACTTGCAAAAGCTATGGCAATATTTTTTATTTTTTAGAGAACCCAAACCTATTTATTGAAAACTATAAACACCCCAGAAATATCTCTTTTAAGCTAAATTTAAGTCAATTAAATATTAAGGTGCAATTCAATAGAAAATAATTATATGCAGCCTTCTGCAAAAATGATGATGTATACAACAAAAGAGTATGGACAGAATTACAAACATGTGCAATTATACCTTATATGGCTGAAACATACTTTATTCTTTTTAGTATCTTATGAAAAATTGTTTTTCTTTCTGTCGTTGTTGTTTTGTTATCAATATTATTATTGCAGTAATAAGATAATGTATAACAGTGACTGAAGTATTATGATATAGACAAGATGTGCTATCTGGTGAGCATTTATTTCAGGTGCATCAAAAGTGAAACTTAAAAAATATATATACATGAAATCATATAAGTATATTAAATATAAAGATAAGTATATGACATGAATATTAATATTAATCATAGAATAAATTTCCTTATAAACATTAGAATTTAATATAAGGTACATGAGTTTAAAAACTTCTTTATGATTTTAATGCGTCTTAAATTTTCTTATCAAGTCACAAATGCAAAGTTAAATCAAGTGAATTTTTTAATATTAGAATATGTTTGTCAAAAGAATTTCATGTTATGAACTCACCAGAGTAGCCTTAATAGCTTGATCCCATGCTTCTAATTTTGGTTGTTTGACTAACCTATTAGCACTTTCATTGTTACCCATTTTATTAAAAGATGAAAATGTACAAGAACCATCCCTGTCAGATTTAAAAGTTTTATTATCATTGCTACTAAATTCATTCCCAAGATCATGCTCTTCAGATTTAGAAGAAATGAGAGCAGAACTATTTACAGACGGTTTATTAGTATAGTAAAGTTTCATAGAGAGAGTGTTAGATGAAGTAGAAGACACAGATGTGTTATTAGAAGATTTAGAAATCAATGAAGTATTTTTAGTTAAAAGTGCTGGTTGGTTGACATTGTCTTCCCACTGTCGGATGTTGGCAGCTAAATTAGCTAGTCTTGATTGACGAGTGGCACAGAGTTCTTTGCTGTTAGTAGAAAATACATATGTGCTGCAATTATTCACCTGAGATTCTGATGCTGATCCTTGATCAGAGGTTACACCATTTGAAGAATCTAAAGTGAAAAGGAAATTCATTAACATTAAAATAAGAATTTTTCTAATAATTTATTTGGTGCAAAAATTTAGATTATATAAATTATATAAAGAAAACTTCATTCACAAACATAAACAAAACTTAAGGTATGTTAAAGCTTCAAAACTACTTTTCCCTCAAGGAAGGAAAAATAAGCATTTGGAATACAAATTGAAAGGATATATATATAGAGAGTGCTTCAGTAAAGTAAAAAATAGGGTTTGATGGGTTTTCAAACCTGGCTTTTAAAGTAAATTTTTCACATTCGAATTAAGAAAACCGGTTTAAAGAATTGATATTATAATGTAAAAATTAATTTTAAACTTATTTCATTTGCTATTCCTTCTATGCAACTGGCAGCAAAATTTCAATTTGAATCTAGAAACTGACATCGTTGCAGCAACAAATGATGGAGCTGCTGTAATGAAAAAAACTTGGCAAATTATCATCTAAAATTTATCAACTATGCCATTCACACGCCATCCACTTAGCAGTTACTGACGTGTTATATAAACATAGAGAAATGGCTGAAACTGAAATAAATGTTTAAAGTGGAGAAAACGAAGACGAATAAGAATATAATGATTATGAAGATTCTCTTTATTATGTTTGTAGCCGAGAACATTTTATTTCTATTTTGTCTATTTTGTCTTTATTTCTATTTCTATTTTGTCTGACAAACAATCAGTTTCCCAAATTAAAAAAAAAAAAAAAACTAAGTTCTTTAGAAAATTTCCAGTAAGAAACACCATTCTTCAAAATGCTATCAAAAAGAAAAAGGAAAGGAATTTAATTCTAGACTGCAAAACAAGTTGGAATAGTATGGACGACATGATTGGAAGACTTCTGGCCATAAAGGAATGCGTTGTTTTCACCAGGGCTGTGGAGTCGGTAGGGAAAATGACCGACTCCGTTGGCATAGCAAATTATTTATATTAATTAGAATTTATTATGAAATGGAAAAACTGGAATTAGTTATTTCTAAGAAACAGTATAGCTTCGGCAAGACCTTTGTTGGAGGGCCATAGATCCGATTTGATAAACTGTAGAAAGAAGAGTTTCCAATTCTGCAAGATCATTCCAAAATCCTTCTATTAATGAAACATCAGGGTTATCTACATCTAAAAAAGTTCTTAATTCTAACTACCTTTTTATCATCAAATATGTACTTCCTTATCACATTGCTTGATCAGTAATTGCTCCTTTTCCTGCTCGCTTCCTAAGAACGGCCTCAATTTTTGGAGTTCTTGCTGCAATTGCTGCTTACCTAAATTTACCAGCGAGATTTGTAACTAAATGAATCAGTTTAATCACTAATGGCAAATATCACATCCATCCTCCACCCTTATATTTATTTATTAATATGTCAATAAAATAGAAAATAACTATTTATATATATAGTTCATCAATAAAATAATAACTCAGCTTGTCATTAATTTTTTTCAATTCATTTTATTTCCATTTAAATTCGAACTGTCCAACAAAAACTGGAGTCTGAGTCGACTTGTTTTTAGCGACTCCAGCTCTGGCTCCTTTTACCTCAAAATCTGCTTGACTCCGATTCCAACTCCACTACTCCGACTCCACAGCCCTGGTTTTAGCACTAAATGATATTGGTTCTTCTTATGCATGGAATGAAGCTCAATATTCTAAAATTTTAGGACGTTGTAAGTCTTGGGACCGATTTGTCCAACAGCTGAAGCCTTAGGGGCACGAGATGTCAATTTACTAACAAATGAAGGTGTATTTAAATTTTGAATGACGTAATTTTACTACAAATATGAGCATCTGGAAGCCCAAATTTGAAATTTTTTTTAATATCGATTTCGTATTTTGTAAAACAAGTTTTTGATTAACAAACTCAATGATTTCAAATTGGGCAATGGCATCGTTGTACAGAAAAAACATTTTTATCTCCAGCGTGTGAGACTGTGTTTTAGAAATTCTAAAGGTATGCTTATTTTAAATGAACTGAATAATAATGAATTTTATTTATTAGTAATGAATTTAATTTATTCACTTCATTTTAAATGAACTGAATAAATTAAATGAACTGAACAATTTAAACACTGGAGTAAGTTTGAAATTATTATATGCTTTGGAAGAACAAATTAACAACACAAAAAAAAAAAAAAAAAAAAAAAAAAAAAAAGATAAGTAGAACTAGCAACTCTTTTGCTGTATTTTGCGCAAAATCCACAAAACATTTCTAGTTCAGCGAAGAAATCTAGTGTACTTTCTTTACCTTCAAAAACGGAAATTACTAAGTTATCTGGAAAGATATTGTCTAGAATATTTCCAAATTTTTATATGGAAACAGATTCTGATGAAGAGCAAATCAAAGAACTATTCATCAGAGTAATGCTTTTTTAAAAGAAGCAAGGGAAGAAGAAAAACTTACAAATCCAATGACATTGAAAGCTAAATTTTCATTATTTGAGGCAACGAAAAAAAGAACAAAAAATTTATATTTGTTATTTGATACTCTGAAAACTACAAAACCAAGTTCAGTAGCTAGTGAATGAATATTTTCAATTTCAGGCAATATTGTGTCTAAAATAAGAACAAGACTTAGCCACTATTCAGTGGATATTTTATGTTTTTTAAAATCTTATTTTCTTAGCCGAAATTAAAATTATTGGGGAGGGGAGAAAGGACAAAAAGGAAAAGAAAAGAAAATCCACAAGCTTTCATTTTTGACATTACACCCAAATAGACATTTTTTTTTTTTTTTTAACATTTTGTGTGCTACTTTTATTTATTAAATATCATGTTCTTTGCACTTAAACCACAAAATTTAATTCAACAGCAATATCACAAAATAATTTTAAAATGAGCATACCTTTAGAATTTCTAAAACACAGTCTCACACGCTGGAGATAAAAATGTTTTTTCTGTACCGTTGCCATTGCCCAATTTGAAATCATTGAGTTTGTTAATCAAAAATTTGTTTTACAAAATTTTACAAAATATGAAATCGATAATAAAAAAAATTTCAAATTTGGGCTTCCAGATAGATGCTTATATTTGCAGTAAAATTAAGTCATTCAAAATTTCATGGTTCTAGATACCGTTGTTTTATCAGAATTCAAGAAACATACATATATTTATGCAGATTCTTCATTATTTAATTTCTTTAAATATAACACAGGGTTCTAATATTTGGTGGCAACAATCTGAAAAGCGAACCAACACAAAATGCCAAAACAAAATGAATAGCCCTTCTGGGCTAGTAATATAAATATGTGAAATTTCTGTTTGAGTTTTCATTATTTTGTGTAAGTAATATGTATATATAATCCTTGAATTTTTTAAAAAAATATTTTGACTTTGATTTCTTTGTTGGTTATTTTATGTAAATTAAATAAAATATTCTCCCCCTTTTTTTTTGAAAAAAATTCGAGAACTGGTTAAAACTGTTTTTTTGGAAGTATTGAATTTGAAAACTGGTTTTTCAAAAAAGTCAGTTTTTGTATAAACCTTAGTAAAAAATGCACCTAATGAAAATGTAGATATACTATCCTCTGAAGAAATACAGTACAAAGTCCAAGATTCATAATTTTGGGAGTTTCAGTGATTCAGGATTTCAGAAATTTCTGGATTTTAGATCACTTGAAATTTAGTAAGATAACATGAAATATTTGTTTATGAAATAATTAAGCATTTATGACTTTATCTAATTAAAAATTTTAAAAAGATGCAATATCCGTTTATTCTATTAAAAATTTCTTTCACTGTAAGTTGCTTAAGTTTTTCCTTTTTTTCTTTCCTCTCTCTTCTCCCCTCCACTGATATTTTCTCTTTAATTTTATAGATACACATAATTTCTTGTTCAGTTACCAAGTTTCATTGTTCAAGTCTGTGAGGTTGAAAATTCCCAATAAACTTCCAACTGAGATCTTTCCTTTCTCAAAAATCTCCTTGCCACTCGCATCACTATTGCTAGCAGCATTTTCTGGACTTGAAACTATTCTACAGATTTCGCCATTCATTAGCTGACTTCCGGTAAGAACAATTTATTCACAATGGAAAATTTCTGTTATATCACCACAATTCTTAATTACATTAATTTTATTAATTACACTTTTTTAAGTCCGAATTACGCCAAAGCTATTTTGTCGGAGCAAGACTACTATAAAAGGCATGTACCAAATTTCATTTTGCAGATTGTGCTAAAGCTCTAAAATTAAGAAGTCTTTTCAATATAATCCAAAATTTGAACTTTAATTTTAATAAGATAGCTGTAATAATAATAGTCTTTTAAAATAATAAGCTGGATCAAATTAGTTAAGAGAGCAATTTGATATATTTACTTAATTTCTTCTAAATCTTTACTTCAAGACTCTCAAGTACTTACTCTCTTGTAAGTAGATTGTTAAAGTGAAGAATAAATAAATCTGACTTTAAAACAAGCCCAATGTTTTATAAATTAATTGATGATAAATAGTTAAAATCCCTCCAAAATATATTTCATATTAAGCATGGATTAATTGATAAATAATAAAGAAAAACAGAATATATAATATTGCTACATTAGTTAAACAGCAAAGAAAAATAACTGAATATAGTGCAGCAATAATTTTATTTACATTTTTACAATTATAATTATATAAATTATTAGGCTACTTTATCCTATAAGCAAAAAAAGTCACACTGTTTAAATAATGTTACAAAAACTCTAAAAGCAACGGACTAAGAGGTTTAAGAAATGCAGTATACACTTGACTGGCAAACCAGCCATAACTATTTCAAACAGCTTTTGCATGGTCTTTAATATTTCAATGATTAATCAGTTGTTATTCTATGAAATAACTAGTTAATCAAAGAATCCAATAAATTTATATGCTTTAACAGATTCAATTATGTAATTTGTAAGATAATTATTTTATAAAATAGCAGATTCCCCACTTCAGCGGTAATATATATAAAATATTAATCAACTTACATACAAAGCAAAAACATATAGTTAGAAATAAAACAGATATAAAACAAATCACCAGGCTTGCTTGACGCATTCTTCCGCAACGCAGCTAAACCTTTAGTCTTAGGATTAGCATGAAATGGAACAACTGGGCTACTCATGGAGCAATCTGACATTTCAACATTTTCTTTCTCACTTTCAATATCCATTGCATTACTTTCAGGAGCAGATAAACACTGCCTCTTAGGCGATTCTTTTGAATGACAATTGGATGCATCTGAAAAGAATCGTATACAATCATATATAATAGTATGAAAAACTGTGAAATTTTTATATTAATATGGATAAATTAAATATTTATGAAACAGCCATCTTATAATAAACAAATATTTAACCAGCACTAAGCTGTATACATATAAACATATATACTATATACCTACATTTATTTTGCACAGTTTCTGAAATTTTAAATTTTTTTTCAGATTTCGGATTGTAACAGTACAAATTCTCATAAGGGCACCTTAATTAACCCCTTAACTGCCGCACATGCGTATATATATATGCCTTGCTCAGCCGATGCGCTAACTGCCCTGGGCGTATATATATATGCCCTTTCAAAATACTATCATTTGCTTTGCGCTGCTGCCCGTGAAATTATTTGCAAAGCTTTGGAATGCAACACCACAATGACCTTGACAAAGTATGCAAAGGAGGATACTATTTCAGAGAAGAGTGGGGAGAAATTGGAGAGAGGGATGTGTCTAAAGCAGTGAAAGTAATGACTGCATGGTATTGGCTGGTGTTGTTTGAGTAAAACTTTTTTTTTTATTATTCCGTGTCCTCCGTTTTCATTTACTTTTTATAGTAGGTTCCAGTAATAAAGAAAGATATAACGGATGTTTCAAACCCATTTATCTTTTTTGAATTATTTTTTGATGAACTGCTCGTGCTTCATATTGTTACTGAAACTAACCGTTTTGTAGACGAGTATATGAACCAACACCTTGCAAACGAAAAATCAAGAACAAAATCGTGGCATTCAACCAGTTCAGAAGAAATATATGTTTTTTAGGCATACTGATTTCACAAGGTATAACACTGAAACCTGATATTACATTTTACGGATCTAAAAATTAATTGATCGAAACTCCATTTTAGAGATCTTTTTTATTATAAAAACATCATTTTTATTATACTTTTAGTCAAAACATTAAATTTTGTGCATTAATTTTTTTCTTTTATTCTTTATCTTGTGAAAATAAACAGTTTTTAGGAGGAAAAAAAAAAAAAAAAAAAAAAAAAAAAAAAAAAAAAAAAAAAAAAAAAAAAAAAAAAAAAAAAAAAAAAAAAAAAAAAAAAAAAAAAAAAAAAAAAAAAAAAAAAAAAAAAAAAAAAAACAACGTGCACTTATTTTCCCCCTAATACATCGCATAATTACATGCGCCTGTGTGGGAAAAACCGTTGCACTGGGAAATTAATCTTGTATGTTTTCTGCGGCAGTTAAGGGGTTAAAAGAACATAAGATTTAAAAGATTGATTAGTACTTACTTATTATCCCCTCAACCACGAACTGTCACCAAGCAGCATGATATCACATCAGTTATAAAGAGATGTGATGTCAAAACACAGTCGTATCAACTGCATTATCATTTATGTAACCTCGATTGATTCTCGATAAGGCAAACCAATTTTTGTTTCTGTGAACTGTTATTGTTCTATTTTTTCTTGCATTTAAAGGAGGGGGAAGAAGGTTTAAAATTTAGGACCTGCTTACTACAGAACAGCAAATAAAGGATTGTTTTAGATTCATGGAATCATACCATCAGAAGAACAAAACCACAGTAGATTGGCACAACTACCAGTGGTGTTCTCATGATATTCTACACAGAGTGGGAGGGCCTAATAAAATAGAAGAAACTGACAAAAGCATTTTTACAAAGCACAGAAACAAAATAGATAGAATACTGATTGTTTATTAAATAAAGAGAAATCAGTTCCTTTGTAATTCCACAGGAATAATTAGCACAAATTTGACGACAGTTCACCAACTTTCATGGTTCGATTTTAGCCAACTGTTATAGTTGATAGGATAATTCAGAAGCACTGATGGACTTAATATTTTTAAATTCAGTATATATGAACACTTGTTCCAAACAATTTAAAATTTTCCTCAGTAAATAATACATAAATTGTCCCTATCTGAAAGTTAAGAATAGAAAATTATATTAATGTACAGCAATTGAAACCAATGTGAATGAAACAAAACCAATGAATAGGGCAGTTAATTTTCTTGTTTGCAATATTAAGTCAAATTATTTATGAATTTCTAATTTTCTTGGCATAATGCATTTCTTTTTTGCCTAACGGATATACAAATGTTTCCATTTCTTGCATAATCAGAATTATCCACAATACTAGAAATCCTATCTTTCTTAATACTTTCTTTAAGTATTATCAGAAAATAATAATAATTTGCATTGTTTCCATGATCTACCCACACATCATTTTCGAATCTAGATGCTGTATTTTACTTCTAGGCATCAAGTTTTGATTATTGACAGCGATCCTTTTTTCATAAAATCTAAAAAGTTCATAAACTTGAGATATTGAGTAGAAATTGAACCGTTAGGAATCCATATTAATAGAGAGACTCCTTTACGTTTCTACTTAGATGGCCTTACTACAGTGTCTAGCTTTGCAGTTTCAATTGGACAAAAGCAAACATTGTTTCGTTTTTTTTTTTTTTTTTTTTAAATTATTATTTTATTTTATTTTAAACCTCTTGAAAATAGGCGTGCAGGAAATAGGTTATGGAAATAAGTATCTACGTGCAGGAAATAGGTTATGGAAATAAGTATCTATGTATGATAAAGAATATCTAAAATAAAATTCTAGATTTAATTTGCTCTATAAAACTCATTTTTAAAATGGTTATTTCCCTTTCATTCTAAAAACAGACTTATTGGGACTGACACTTAGCTTTTTGCCACTTGCCTGTGTGCCCTAAATTTTACTGCACTATAGCTTAAATTCTAAATACAGGGTGATTATAATTAAAGTTTAAGTTTCAAAACGCTATAAAAAAAGAACCACTCATGAAAATGAATGTCAAATTCAAATGAAAGGAATGTTATTGAAGAAGGCGGAAAGAAGAAAGCGTATGGCAGAAGAAAAAATGTAGTTTCAAAAGTTAGCAACAGATGGAGCTGTGCAAGCGGAAGATGACTTAAATTAAAATGTTAGTTAAATTTCAGTGTTATAAAACCGCCAGCAGGTCTAAGGCTGTTCCTGATTCGCATCTCAGATGTTCGCCATGGGTGTTTCACTGCAGGACCGTGCTCTGCTGGTAAAGCTGTATTACAAGAATGATGATGATGTGCAAGAGTAGCTTCTGCAAAAATTCAGGACACTGAAGGGTATAAAAGAAGGCGTTGGTCCAATGAGTGTCGTGTGAATCTAAAGAAAATGATGCAAAAATTCGAAAACATGACAGGTTCGTTTGATGTGCAATCTGGTAGAGGGAGAAAACGAGTGAGTGCATTCGACGGTAGTTGAAGAAGTGGCCACAGCATTACAGGAGGGGTCGGGTGACCGGTGGTGTGCAACCGTGCAATGCACGAGGAATTGCACGAACATTGGACAGGCCTACGAGCACGGTGCTGTGAAATTGTACGTAACATCTTGCAATGTTATCCGTACAAAATTGGGGGTTGCAGGAGTTGCTTCTGTCTGACCTGACAGCTAGGGGAGACGTTTGCGTTAGAATTCCTGGCTCGCATGGAAGTGGATAACGAATGGCCGTGGAAAATTTTGTGGACAGATGAAGCCCATTTCAATCTGACAGGTTACGTGAATACCCAGAATTGTCGAATATGGGCAATAGAAAATCCACTGGCAACGCCACCCCGTACCACTTCATCCTGAAAAGGTCACGGTGTGGTGCGGCTTTACGGCATCATTCATCCTACAACCTTATTTTTTCGAAGCAGACGGGTACTTCCGATCCTGTTACCGCAACCGTCACTGGTCAGAGGTATGCGGCTCTTTTGCACAACCTCTTTTCCAGCTCTGCAACAGCGTGGATGTGTGGATGAAATCATTTTTATGCAAGATGGCGCTCCTCCGCACATTGCACATTCCGTGAAGCAGCTGCTGAGGCGGCATTTCAGAAATGCTCGAATTATCAGCCGTCATTTCCCTGCAGCCTGGCTGTCCCGATCGCCTGATCTTACTCCGTGTGATTTCTGGCTGTGGGGGATATCTGAAGGATGTTGTGTTCCGTGCTCCAATTGCAAATTTAGCGGAATTAAAGGCACACATTTTGCAACACATTCTGAACATCACCCTGGAGACACTGCGATCTGTTGTGGAACATGCCGTTTGTCGCTTTCAACTTGTTGCACACAACGGTGGACACCATATTGAACATGTTTTGCGCCAGTCTCGCGACAGTTCCGAACTTCTTTGATGAATGGTTCTTATGCGGTATGTCGCTGCAAAACTCTTAAAACCGATTTGTCCCTTTCGATGTGATATGTACAGTCATGCAAATAAAATTATTCAACAATTCTAATTTGTCAATGCGTTTTAATGTGTAACTTCCACCTTAGTCGTTGTTTTACGAATCATTTCTCGTTTCTCGTTGTGATTTTGTCGCTTACAGCGCCTTTATTGCTAACTTTTGAAACTAAATTTTTTCTTCTGCCATACGCTTTCCGCCTTCTTCAATAACATTCCTTTCAAATTTCACATCATTTTCATCAGTGGTTCTTTTTTTATAGCGTTTTGAAACTTAAACTTTAATTATAATCACCCTGTATTTGCCACCCATTGTGGCTCCACCAGTTCTAGAACTGGCGCTGATGCTTATAATAAAGCTTTCTCAGAATTGCATCACTTCAAAATTAATCTTTGTCATATAATTCTCTTATAATGCTCATCATACATGTACTTGCATAATGTAAAAAGTTTTTCACAGCATAATATTAAAACCAAAGAAATTAAAATGGAACAATAACTTCAGTTTTAATCTATTATTTTTTATAACCGTACTTCTTGCACTTTTCTCAGTCCATCTATGAAGCAGTCTAATACTGCTCTTCCTCTGCGTTTGAAGTACTGTAGATGTGAAACTGTTGAACATTTAACTTTGTCTCTGCTGCTTATATAACTATAATAATTCATATTTAGTGAAATTATGCCTAAATGAAAATGATTACCAGCAATATCTTCATGTTCTATGTCATCTCACTATATTATTGCATAGATATCAAAGCTTAAGATATATAACAATTATATTTCTTTTTTCATGTTTAACATAGTTCCAGTCATCGATTTTCTAAGTTCTAACAGCATTGTTAATCCTTATAGCTTTTGTGCTGAAGAAAAGTGAATATTAGTAGCAAGGAGAAAAGCAACAGATTTTCTTAAAACCACATGGTAAGCTGAAATTAGAATTTCAAAAATTAATTGATAATATTTATTTTTTTGTTCTCATTGTTTTGGAAGAAGGAAAAAAAAAAAAAAAAAAAAAACCCTAGAATTTTAAATGCAACATAGCATATATGTACATATCTATATTTTCTAACATATATACATTTCTATATTTCTTAACATAACCTATATATTGTTATAGAATGCCCAGTCGCGGTAACATAGCTTCCTCGCGAGGTGGGGTTAGAGTTGCCAGAAAATGGCAAGGGAAGGCAGGGTTGCTATATTTAGAGCAAAATCTTCTATCTGGTGACAAAATTGGTAATATGCCAGCTGTATGCAGAACATTCTGGAACAAATTCTTACAGGTTTGGCACAGAATGTACTCAAAAGTAGGCCAAAAGCTATATAAACCCTGCCTGTATGTGCAGTAGCAGTCTAGTGTCGAGTTGATCGAGTATTTCATAGAGTATCATCAGTGTATTGCGAGTTGGTGCATCAAGAGTATATATCATTGAAGCTATCGATGAGTATATCGTCAAGTGTATCACGAGTTGTAAAGTGGAGAGTATTGAGTATACGTGTACTCTAATGCTTTGCCGTGAAGCTGTGTTCATCATTATAGCCAGAAGGCCATGCTGCCGATTGTTTCAGTGTGTTTGTCGTAAATTGTAAACATGTTTTTGGAGCTGTCCCGAGTAACACTGGCTAATAAATTGTGTTTTCATTCTTTATCAAGGGTTGACATTAATAATTCCAAATCCATGAATCCGTAGAACACAACAATATATAAACATTTCTATCCAAAGAAAAATTAATGTTCTTATTCATAATAATGGGTACACTTCTGTTTTAAGGGCCGTAAAAAAAATTGCAACGAAAATGTATGCGCAAAAGCGCCAGATCTAGCAAACGTGCCCATTTAACAGCGCACCAAATCTAGCGTATGCACTGGTTTCAGATTGCATAAGTTTATATAGTTCTATAATTCTTAAGACACCATTGAAATACTAGTTTAATTTTTAAATCCTTTTTTGATTTTAAATCCTTTTTTTGATATCCTATGGATTTAACAATTTGGAAATTGCCCATAACGAACCAGATATTTAATAAAGTCGGCAATAGAACTTTGGGTAAAGTGCAGAATCACTCACTGCTTGACACGTTTTTAAGAATTGCACATACTCGGTATACATGTGCACATCGATCTATTTTCACTTTAAAAAAAAAAAAAAATCCCAGAATTGCACAAAAATGGCACTGCACAACCCCCTTAACTTTACCTATGTGCACATCAACCTATTTTCATTTAAAAAGTAAAATAAAATTTACAAAAATCCAATTTTCTTTTACCTTTATAAAAAGCTGCAAACAAATAAGTGAGCGATTCTGCACTTCTGAATATTTTTAAAGAAAAGGCATCATTCATTATATAGAAAATTACGTTTGAACAACCAACGAGATGAAATTATGCTTTAGCGAAAAGTTGGTAGCGAAATAGCGATGCAGGCATCCATTCAGTTATGTTTAGCAATTTTTATATAAATTATAATAATGATTTGAAATAGTTATTTACTCTTATGCTTCCATTCGGTCATGTTTAGCCTTTTTCATATAAATTATAATAATTAAAAAGTATTATATAAAATTAACCTTTCATCTAAATTAAAACATCAATCTTAGATAGTTATTTACTATTATACTTCTTTTCTTGCCACAATTATTAGGGTTGCCGCTATTGTTTTTGGCAGCATTGGCATCAACAATAGTTTGGCGATTTTTTACGGCCCTCAAAACCGAATAGTACCTAATAATGTTACACTTTTCGATGCAGTATTCATACCCACAATGGAAACCAGAAATTTAATAAAGAAAAAATAAACAGAAGCTTATAATTACAGCAAGTTATAAAATAAAATTTTTATTTTGATGAGTATTGAAATATGTTTCATTTTATACCTACAGCAGTGACAACGATAGCAATATGCTAATATTCATTAATTTGGACATGTTTAAATTTTTCCTGCAAAAGAGTACAACATACAAGTGATGGATTGTATGTGGCCTTAAGTTTCTTACCAGCAGAGCATAATAAAGATTATCATTAGTATAAATGTATTTCCAGATCCAGATATTTTTACGAATAGAGAACGTTTGTTAAATTCAAATATTTCCAGATACGTATATTTTCATGCTTTTTTTCCGATTATATAAGAATTATATGATTTCCCAGAGATCAAAATTACATGGTTAATCTTCGGATTATGGTAACTTGGCGAATTTTTGGCGACCATTTTTTTTTTTACTCAACAATCTGCTAGCCGAATTACGCTCATGCTAGAACTTTTATGGAACAAAAGTGCTTAATCATGATGAAGATTAGGTGCGAAATTGGGAAAGTGCAGAATTGCCCACTGCTTACCGCGTTTTTAAGAACTGCACATACACGGTATCCATGTACACGTCGCCCTATTTTCACTTAAAAAAACATACGAGAATTGCACAAAAATGCCATTGCGCACACTCTTGACTTTATCCCTGTACACTGCTAAAGTCCTAGTTAGTAACCTTTATCGCCTTACCAATATACCGCCAAACTACCTGTTACCATATTCCAAAGATTAGCCAAATTACATAAATATAAAATGCACAAGCATATTTCTGATAGTATACATTGATAAGTGATAAATTTATTGATCCATGAATGCTCAAAATATATTCATTAATTTATATTATACTTTAAATAGATATTTTTTTGAAAAATTCATTCAAAATGAAATTTTGAATTTTTATGCATATATCTTAATGGCATTGTTTAAATGCAAAACTGCATACAAGATAATTTGAAATAAATTGTTTTTTACACCAGGATACATTCCTTAACATTGGCCAAATAAAACATATTGTGCAACTTAGCATATCAATATACATTTTAGATTGGCAGTGATGTACACAGAAGGTGGCAGTGAGATTATATAATGATAGAGTAATATGTGTGTACCGTTTGTGTATATCGGCCTTAAAAAAATAAAAATTACTCAAAACATAGATTTTGACGATATGGGAAACTCATAATTATTAGATGCATCACAATCAGGCACTGGTCTTAACAGATAATCTGCAAGTAATTTCTTGAACTACAATTTAATATCCATTTCAACATCAAATAGTCTTGTAGAAAAGATATAACTATTTCACAGCAAATATCCTCACTGGGATATTTTTCTTTTGCACTCAGAAAAAATAATTTTCATTTTATTAATTCCCAGTATTCTGAAGTTGCAATAATTTATGAAATATACATAACCCTTATCTGTACATAATTCAAAATCTCCATTAAAAATTACCAAATTTTCTCACACATTATACTATAAAAGAATCTAAATGTATTAAAAATCCTATAAGTTTATTTATTGATAATTTCTAAAACAAAAAGGCTTTTAATATTATTTTTTCATTCATACTCTGATCTGGTAGCTGAAGCTCTTCAGTTAATGCAGGACGCTTCTTACAAGACACACTTGGACTTTCATTTTTCAACTCTGTAACATAATCTTTTCTAGCTCTAGTCCTTTGAATAAGCTTCTAAAAAAATATAATTAAATGAATAAAGTTTATTGATTACATAGTTATAATCAAATTTAAAGTATTCAGCTACTTAAATTGGAGAAAGAAAATGTGGGGGTTAAGGATAACCAAATGGCATTTCCTGTAACTCAAAACATTTATTTTCAGTGATACAGGAATGCATCCAAGGTCCTTCTAAGCTAGTTTTGACCCTTGACATACTCCTTTTTCAAAAGTTTTTTAAATTCACTTTTCCAGTTTTTATGATGGAAAAATATGACTATAAAGAAATACAGGCTCCTTAAAAAAGCTGAAAATAAGGTCCTGGATGTTCCGTTCCCATTTCTATGAATATAAAACATCAGCAACCATTTCATGATATATGAAATGATATGGTGAGTGTACTAATTGTAAACACAAAATGAAATATGTTAAATTAAACATGCACACAGCCAAATGCTTTGATTCCTAGATGGTGTTATCGTTGGGTTTTGGCATGTGTTTGGTTTCTCTTTGACCAGCATGATAGGTACACAATGCTAATTTTTTTTTGGGGGGGAAGAGGTAGCTCCCCCCAAACACCCCATAGCTAATGCTTCACAGAAAGAATTTTAGACAGACTTTTAACTTTTCTCCAATTTATTAAAAAATTTTCAGTTTTCTATACTTAAATTTATTTACAACAGAATAATTTTAAGGCTAAGATTCAGGCTTCCTTCCAACAGAAGACTTCCATTGTAGACAGAAATTATTGTAATTCATGAGCAGCATCATATGAAAAGAAACACCATATTAATGCAGAAAATCATAGAATCATCACAGAGACTTGTTAATTAATTACTAAGTCAAAGAATTAGCCTCCAAAATTGTATTTCTTATATAAGCAATTTGAATTGTTAAAAATACATTTTGCTCTGAAAAGAATTTAATCAATAAGGATACTTGCAATTTTAAAACAATTAAATTGTTATTATAAATTGAGAAGTGAAATAAATCTTTCAAAAGTTCAGTACATTTGAATCACTAAAAATATATTTTGCTTTGAAAATAACAAGAATTAGCTTTAAAAAATGGGGGGAGGGAAACTTCTGATTGTGTAGGTAGACTTAAATCTGAAAATAAATGTTTTGAAAGCAAAAAATGTAAACATACCTAAAGATTTCTTGAAGCTTACAAAAAAAAAAAAAAAAAAAAAAAAAAAAAAAAAAATTGTAAATTTCTTTGCCACTGGCTATGAATAAATTGACGATTTAAAAAACCTTTACTTTCGAAGTAATGGCCGAAATATTTTTCATTTTACTTCCACTTAGGAAGACATTTAAGATTTTCTTAGAATGCAAGTTTTAAACATGATTGCTGTGATTATTCATATATTTCAAACGATATTAATACTAGAAAAGTGGAAGGGAAAATGTTCAGCTATATAACAGGATATGTTCTTCAGCATTGTACATTAATTATTAAACGCAATACTTGCCGGATCTATATGTTTACAGAATTTAAATGACTTAAACTCCCTATATTTAGACATAAAAATTCTTCTATTAAAATACATAAACAACTCTCACATACTTAAAGAGGAAATAAATAATATCTTTTCACACAGAAACACAAAATCATAAAAGTATATTTAAAAACGTATTCCGAAATCTGAGATACAGATTTTATAACAAGCATCCTATTTAAATTTGACTTCAATAACTGAATTTATCACTGCATATAATAATAACAAGCCTTCTTACTTCTGTAAATGAGTCATTAAGCTCCATATTTTACCTCTGAAATCAAAAATGTTGTTAAAGAATTATGAAATATACATAAAACTGAGAATGTATCCTACACCCACTTAAGCGTTTAACAGACACAACAATCGTGAATAGATTTGAATTCTGCGGTAAAGCCGTTGGGGTTGCCATAAGAAATCTATTACGACTTTCTTTCAAATAATATAAAAATTTAATAGTGTTTGCCTATGTACCTCCGAATTGAGACCTTTAATTTCCTGTAGTAAATTTTATCTAGGATTTTTTGAAATTGTTAAGAATGAAGGGAAAAATTATTTTGAAATTTGGTGAAAACTAATCATAAGTAATTTTTCTAGCAACCCAACCGTTTCGGTGATGATGTCAGAAAAAGACAAGTGGGGCAAGGTAAACAGAAATACTGCGCATGTTCGAAGCGTGTTTCAAAATTTTTTTTATCTGTCCAATATCAGTAGCATTATGCAAAATTTTAAAATAAACAGTTATTGATGAAAATGTACGAAATCTGATAACAGTGTTGTCATTTGGTGACTTAAATTACGATATCTTCTTCAAACTTGCTAAATCATTGTCGTCTCATTCGGGCATAGTCCAAAAGATGTTATTATGCTATAAAAAAGAAAAACTTTCTAAACACCTCATAAGTTCTTCAGGTTTTTCACCTAGTGTTGTATTGTATTTTTTATTTCTACAATAATGAAAACTGTATTTATTTTCGCTTTAATTTTAGTACCTTGCTCTTCGTGGTTTGCTGTACCAACATCTGACGTTATTGAAGTAAACGGTGGAAAACCATGTGCAGGTTAGATTTATTCGTATATTATTTTTATTCGAAAATATTATGAACTTTAAAATTCCATTTGCAAGGGATCTCTCTCTCTCTCTTGTCTTATGCATTCAGTAACAATGAGTTAATCAATAATTATACAAAAATCATCTTTCAAAGAAAAAATATATTTGAAATTTTTGTTTTTATTTCAAAGAAATTTATACTGTTTACCAACGACATTTCAATATAGCTCCTTATTTAACATCTCATCCCTAAAATAGTGATCTACCCAGCACTTGCTCGGACCTTAGCTTCATCTGTCGTTAATAAGTAGTTAATTTACTCGTATAAACAACTATCCGTTCCACTCTTATTTATGTCTTGACATCTGCAAACTCAGAGAACATCCCGCTCAAATAATTAAGCCCGTATTTTTTAGCGAGATTTCTTTCTTTCTTGGCTATTCTCCGAAGAATATCCGTGTTATATTAAATTTAGCGTTGTAATTCCGTTTAAGCATGAAATGTTTCAACTCTTTCCTCTTATCTTCAAATTTTCGTTTACTTTTGACTTAAGTTTCTATTTCCATAAAACGTTTCTAAGAAACCCTCAAGTCTTACTACTTATGTTGATGTATTTAATTTAATGATATAATTTCGCTTACAGGCAGGAAACATCTCAACTATTTCCTTCAAGTTACGTATGAAGTTTCTGTTTCCCTAAAATGATTACAAGAATCCGTCTAGCGTACGCTTTTTTTATTGGTACCCGATTGAGAAATGTATGTATGTGCATATACATGTATGTGTACACATACGTACACTGCTAAAAAAAAAAAAAAAAAAAAAAAAAAAAAAAAAAAAAAAAAAAAAAAAAAAAAAACAAAAAAAAAAAAAAAAAAAAAAAAAAAAAAAAGACAGTTCTCCCGTTCCCACTGGGCCGATTGACAAAATTCAAATTCCGTTCTTCATGTCTCGAAAGGGCGAATTAGGATATATATTAGATTTATATATAGCACTATTCTAACATAGGTATTTTGACACAAAATAGGACTTTTTCTGAAATAACATACCAATTTTTTTTACATATTTCAAGTCTACGACTCAAATAATGCCAGAATACCAAGTTTTGTAAAAATCGTACGAGTAGTTTTTAAAAAATTAGCTCTTAAAATTTTAGCTCCTCAATGTTAATTGAATTTGGCATACATTTATTAATATCTTTTTTTTTATTAAACGTTTTTGATTTTTCCTTTTACATTTCGAAATTTAGGTTCATTCCAAAACAAATTCACTCATTTTTTGTGTTTTATTTTTCAAATTTTAATTTTTAAATAATTTTTATAAATTTTTCGAAAAAATTTTGAATTATAACCTATAAAATTTTTACCATCATCTTAAAGTAGGTGTACTTTTAAGCATACCTGCAAAAAATTAGAGTTTTTTATTTAAAATTTTCTAAGATATACACGAATTTACATATTTTCGCGCTTTGAAATTTGGCATCTTTTTTTTCTTGAGCGATAATAACGCCAAATGTGGTTTATGGATTTTGTTACAGTGAATTGCCACAGCTATTTTTAACCTTAAGTTTCAAATAAATTTTTAAAAAGGATTAATATATGAATTTTTTCTCTCGATGATGCGTAATAAATATTTATTAATACTATATGAAAAGCTATTTTTTTAATTACAGATATTATTCAAATTTTTAACTTTTTTTAAAAATTTCTTTCTTTCTTTTTTTTAAATGTTTGTAAGAGTAAATTTTTACCTTCGCCGTGTAATCGTCTGCTACTTTCGTTAAACTTCATTTAAATTGAATTGTCTAAAACTGAGAAAGTTCGCTTGATGTTTATTTTTACAATGTTTTTCATTATGATTTTTATTGAAATAAGGCTCTATCCATTAATTAAAAGTAAACTCTCTGAATGAGATTTTAATAATAAGATCTATAATCTATTCGTAACAAAATTACATGAAATATTTTTTTAATATAGCGAAACTTTATTTTTAAGAAATTAATAATCAAAAAATGACAAACATTTTATCTGACTAAAGTCTTCGTATACTGAAATATTTTTGGATAAAATTAAAATTAGAATTATCGTTTGCCGCTTTTTTAATTTTTGCATTGTGGTGGCATTTAAAAAAATCGTTTGCTTTATTTTTTATAGTTTATTTCATAATATTCTATATATTATTGAAAAATAGATCGCAGTCGTAAAGAAATTACAAACAGTATTCGAAAATTGATAATTTTTCACCATAGTAGTGTTCAATCAATTCGAAATGTCGCTAAATTAATTAATTTATTCCATTCTACAGTGAAGTATGTGATAAAACGCTTTAAAGAAGAAAACCGGATTGAAAACAATGTAAGAAAAGGTCGACCAAGAAAGTTATCTAAACGTGATGAAAGATTTATTATTAGAAAAGTTGGGAAAAACCTACGTTTGAGGGCTATAAATGTTTCTGCAGAATTTAATGCAAAGTGTTCACCTGAAACTGTCCGATGAGCTCGGTCAATTTCACCTGAAAGTCAATTTCACCTGAAACTGTCCGATGAGCTCTCAGAGAAGATGGATTACATGGAAGTTCTGCCCGTAAAAAGTTTTTTGTTAGTGAGATAAACAGAAAGCGTAGCTTTCATTCGCAAAATCAATGACAAATACACCCGAAACGTACTGGAATAATGTACTATTTTCTGACTTGGTGCGAAATTTACGAAGAAATTCAAAATTTGTCTTTCCGCATTTTTTTCAGATTGCGCCAAAATTATTTCTCTGGCGAACTTCTTAATATATGGCAACCTATTTTCCTTTTTACATTGTGCTTGAGGGAAAAACTTTGTTCCTACTTTCATATAATTTTTAACAAAGTGCCTAACCCACATTTGATGTTATTACCGCTTTCAATAAATACGCCAAATTTCAGAATGCGCCAATATATAAATTCATGTATATTTTTGGAAATTTTGAATAAAAATTTTAATTTTTTGCAGGTAAACTTAGAAATACATCTACTTTAAAATGATGGTAACATTTCATAGCTTATAATTCGAATTTTTTTTTCGAAAGATTTTTAAAAATTATAATAATACAAATTTTAAGAAAAAATCATAAAAAGGGGGCGTGTTTTATTTGGAATGAACCTAAATTTCGACATGTGAAAAGAAGAATCAAATAAGTTTAATTAAAAAAGAGAGATTAATAAATATATACCAAAGTCAATTAACACCGAGGAGCTAAAATTTTGAGAGCTAATGTTTTAAAAACCACTCGTGCGATTTTTACAAAATTTGACAGTTTGGTTTAATTTGAGTCGTAGAATTATAATATGGAAAAACATTGGCATGTCATGTCAGAAAAAGTCTGGTTTTGTGTCAAAATACCTATATTATAGCAATGCTATATATAAATCTAATACATATCCTAAGTAGCGCTAAGCGCAAGTTGAATTTTGTCAATTGGTCCAGTAAATTACATGCATAGATACAGAACTGTCACACAATACATGCATGCATGCATACACTTCTGCATTCGTCCTGATAACAGAAGAGTGCCTCGTCCAGTCTTACTGGACAACTTCCCTACATAAGGATAGGCTGCAAAAACAAATCTCTATACGATTCAAATTCTATAAAAAAATCGGAAAAGTTTCTGATTTTAAATAATGTTCAAAGGAGCGTTTTTTTTTAACGTTTTGTGTCTTACCTTTATTTTTTAAATATCACGTTCTTTGCACTTAAACCATAAAATTCAGTTCGATAGCAATGTCACAAAATAATTTTAAAATGAGCATATTTTTAGAATTTCCGACACACAGTTCCGCGCGCTGGAGATAAAAATGTTTTCTTTTTCCCCGTAGAGTGTTGCCATTGCTCGCTTTGAAATTCTTGAGTTTGTTAATCAAAAATTCGTTAAAATTTTACAAAATATGAAATCGATCATAAAACAAATTCCAAACATCAAATTTGATCTTCTACATGCCCATGTTCGTAAGGAGGATTACGTCATTCAAAATTCGATGGCTCTATGTACCGTTCTTTTATCACAATGCGAGAAATATACATACAGTTATGCAGATTTTTCATTATTTAATTTCTTCAAATATAATGCTGGACTCTAACATTTGGTGGCAACAGTTTGAAAAGTGAAACGGACATTTATAGTGAATCGCAAAATCGCAAAATCGCAAAACGAAAACAAAAGTCCTTCAGGAACAAAGCCCTTTGGACTGAAAATACAGGGTATTTATAAAGTCCCAGACCCATTTGGATGTTTAATAACTCATAAAATAATAAAGATAGATTAAAATTAATAACATAAATGGTTAGATAGACTCAAAACGTTTCATGACCCTTGTCAATGAACTTCCACGTGTGCCTCCTTCGTCGCACGGAGAATATCAAATCGATATTCAATTTCACGCCAGGCACCGGCAAGCATGTCGGCATCCATAGAGGCTATTGCGGTTTAATTCTGGCTTTTAGGTCATCAATGTTCGATACTCTCCTCCTGTAAACGTTGTCCTTTACAAATCCCCAAAGGAAAAAGTCCATAACATTGCAATAGTTGCCAAAAACAAAAGAGAGAAAAATGCAATTAATAAGCAGACGATATTTAAAAAAGTACAGATATTTAGACTGGAAAATGAAATTATCTGAAATTAACCTCACGCGCAGACGATATTTGCAAAAGTAAAGATATTCAAACCTGAAAAGGAATATATATAAGTTATTCCATCAATAAATGCTATAAGTTTGTTTATATCTTCATTATTTTATAAGTTGTTAAACATCAAAATGGGTCCGGGACTTTATAAACACCCCGTAAAGCCTTTAAAGAATAAATCAGTACTCTTTGATGTTTAAAGAATAGCCTAATAGATATAAAAACTGGAACATACCTATATGTAAAGCCATAAATATTTACCGATATTAAGTGATGAAAATAACATACAGTGTCTCAAAAAAGTGATGGGACACTTGTGCTTTACAAAAGGAAACTGTAATAAAATTAATTAAAAAAA